TATAGATTTATGGTATGCTTTTAAAAAACAGCATCGAGGTGATTTTATGTGTATTAAGATAATAAAAAACGCGTCACCTGTCTGTAGATTTGCAAATGGTTCTTTTTGTTTAAAAACGTGTTTTTTCCTCACTATCGCCAGAAGTCTTGTCGGTTTGTTTGATATTGCAATAACGTACAATACAATTTAACATATAATACATACCAAAAGGTATACATAACATATGTGGATGCTTAAATCCATTTTCGATATACTTTTAAAATTTGCTTACGTCAAATAACTAATTGTCAAATTGCAACATTATGTACGATTCGTATAGATTATTGATAAACATAGTTAAAAACCATATATCTCGTAGACACATGTATAATATAATATTTATATTTTAATATCAAGCACCTTTCTTATGGGCTATGGCCTTGGCAAGTTATTTTAGGTCATTACTGTAGTCGTTTATAATGTCACATTTTATAATCATTTTGACAAATCCCGTAGACGGCAAACGGTTCAATATCTACACACTATCAATACCCGGATCACATTACAAATTATATACTCATGATAACGTGATAAAAACAATGGTTATAGATAAATAATGTTTATAACTTATAAGCATAGTAGTAGTAATGATCACATATTTTTTTCTTTGCCTTATAATATATTATATGCATGGTACAATGATTTGGCTTTTAATCGATTATCAAAACATTTATCGTCTCGTCCTGATCTGATAAAATACAACGATAATATCATATTATTATTGAAAAAATACCATGTTTAATAATTTCATAATAAAACTTATAAAATTGCATAAGTATACCTACTAAAGTCTCCATAATGTTTACCTACTATAAAACTATTTGACATTTTGAATTATATGTGTATAGTATTTTTTTTTTTTTTTTTTTATACGGGAAATCCCTTTTGATAATGATATAGTTTACAAAGTAAATACAGTAATGTATGAGATAAAGTAACTTAATGAGTTAACAACAATTAGAGAGTAGACTAATAAACATGAAACAGTAGTTAATGAGTAAGCAATATAATAAAGAAGTATAACAGACAACTATGACTTCTGAAAACAAAACTGTGAGCATAGAAAATAGCAGTTTAGAATCTAAGAAGGAAGGGTCATTAGACGTCTGAGAGGTTCGTATTGTTGGTAATTTGCGGTGACACTGGGAATATGGAAAGAGATATTAGAACGTGTAGAGCGCGGAGGAATTTAAAAATTTATCAAGGAAAGTAAGGTGGGAGAGTCAATTTTGTTGAGTATAAGATCATTGGAGAACTTAGAGCTAAGCATACGTCTACGGTCAGAAAGGGTATGTAGCCCAAGAGCATCAGCAACGGGTGAGTAATCATGAGGTTCATGTGGTATACCTAAGGAGAAACCAACAAAGCTCAGAAACTTACGTTGTACGCGCTCAAGTTGGTTTGAACCGGTGGCCGTATAAAGATTCCAGATTACCAATCCATATTCTAAGATGGGTCGAACTAGAGTACAATACAGGGATTTGAGTGATCTAGATAGTTTAAGGTCCTTAGATAATCGCAAGATGAAACCAAGAGTTTTAAGTGACTTACAGCAAATCATTGAAATGTGCTTACTATAATATGATGAGATGCAATTTAAATATCAAACAACAAATAATGTTTAAATTTGATTCCAAATTATCAATTATTTAATAAGCAAACATAAAAAAATAATCACAATTTCTTTTTTTCATCACTTGTGGGTGTTTAATAATTAATATTGATTTTGGGATCAATAGGTGAAATACTAAATTCATATAATTACGTTCATATTATTAGCAATCACATATTGCTAAAATACAAAGTTGCTTTAAGTACACAAAATAGGTTTTGAAATTAATATCAAATTATTACTTATTACATGCATATTATAACTCGGATATATTTTCAAGTAATATCTCATATGCTATTATTCATGAACTATATAGGTATAATTTATATACTTATTATCTATTTATTATTTATTAATTACTATAATATAAGCGTTCGGTAGACCCAGTCAGACCACTATGAAATTAATAATACAGACTTTATCAATTAATTTTACACACACAAAATATTCTTCAATGATTTATTTATTGATCTTTTGAATCGGAAATATAAATTAATAATATTACATTGTAGTTAAATCATGGTAATCATTATATTACACCTAGTAAATATAAGTATACTATACTATGATATCTGATATTGTTTATCGTCATTTTCAATATCCCTGTTTACTGTTAAGATTTTATGATACATTAATATTTAATAATGCACGCTGTACGCCAATTGTTCATCTGCAGTATGGAATCAAATCGTAATATTTAATTTCTAATGTCTATAAAGTTGAAAGTAATTCATCACTATAGTGAATTGACAAATAATGGAACACGTTGATTTTTTTGTTGATTTTAATGGTGCTTAATCTATGAGTGTAATTGCGATTTATATATAATGTTCTTTGAAAAAAAACCGAAGACATTGTATATTTGTATAACATGTGACATACATAAATCTCTGTACATTTTAATCTATTACTAACCTAAATAGACTCCAATATTTATTGCGTTTGTCTCAAAACCATAAAATATCATTACGCCCAAGACACACGTTCGCCCTTTTTTAGATCACTGACGGGTTTTTATTTATTAGGTCTGCGCTATACAAGACAACAATATAGTCTATATTATACACATTATTATACATACTTATTCATATTTACACACACACATACACATCTACATACATATTTAGTACCCAGAACATATACCAATAGGCCACGAGTACACAATTACATACTTTAAAATGTTATTAGGGTACCTCCTACACATACATATCCTTGTCGTTTATATGTTTATATAATATATAACATATAAACACAGGTATAAATATACATATTATATACGATTTTTCGGTTTTAAACAGTTTTTACGTGCACCGAGCGCATGTATATAATATGTTTTTTGGACATCTAACGAAAGCATAACATATGACGGCAAATATAATATGCATGATTAATTCAACTATACAAACGATTTTATAAAATATTATGTAACGCTTAAAAAAGTGTCCAGTTTAAGAATATCGTTAACGGTCAAGTTGATTATCGTTATTTGACAAAAAATTAATAAAAAATATAACAACCGGTGTTAATACCCTCATGTGCATCCAATTGTTTAGTCGTTTTTAATCTGTGAACATAAATTATTATTATTACATAATGTTACAGAGTATTTAATCGTCATAATAATAATAATGATGTATATTATGTTCAGTGTTCACGGGTTGTTTTATAAATATTAGACAATAATAATATCAATTAGAATGATTTCAGAATGTTGTTGTCGTGCTCCATTTTAATTGTATAGATATAATATATTATATTTTAATACGCGCTACAGCTGATATTGTGCCAATATACGTAGTTGAGATTATGCGACCAATATTTATCCAGATCAGTATCAGCTATATAAGGTCGTTTTAAAAATATACTCACCGTCCAGTTTTAGTCGAACAGGAAAATTGCTGTATTCGGGTTAACACGTCATGTCGTAAACGCGGTGAACCGATTTACCATGGTATAAAACCAAACCTAAACAAACAATATCAATAAAACATGGTAGATATTTTAATTAAACTAAAAACTGATAGTAAAAATATAATTACAGATTATTTAAATTATATCGTGGTGAATTATATTGATACGGAGTTTATTACTCGACACTAAGACACTAATTATAATTTTGATTTATCATTTCTTAGAAAAACAGTTCTATCTCCGATTATCTTAATCTTAAGTTGCACATATTTTAGATATCGGTGATCCTTATAATAGGCGATGATCAATTTCGAATGGTAATACGTGTGACATATTCTTATTACATAGATTGTGGTTGTTGCTTTATAATTACTTATGATAATATTACATATATTATAATCAGTAGAGAGAGAATTGGGCGAACACAAGAAAATGCTTTAATTTATATTTTGAAATATTATAAACACGTGCTGTAATCAACGGAGTACGTGACAATATTATATTACTGATAAGATATCTTTTTTCGTTAATATAATAACAGAATAACTGATATAAATAAAAACTAAAAATATAAAACCACCTTGGTCCTATATAGTAGGATGTATGTGATGTATATGATGTATAGAATTTTCGTACAAATACTTGAAAACTCGATATCGAATAGATGGGTACTTAATCAAATATAGTAATCTATTATACCCATTGTACCGACTACAGATTACTGATTTCAGTTAATCGTACGATCAAATATCATTAGTTTAAACATATTATAATTTAAAAGGTACTGCACACATATCGAACATTGTTACTTTGGACCTCATGGCTCACGCTATGTATAATTAATAATTATATAGAAACAAAATCATAATGTGTGTTGATTGGTTAAAGAACATTATGCTCGTCCTACAAAATAATGATTTAAACCTCTATAAAGATGGAAATTATGTGAAAAAAGTTAATAAACAACGGTAAAACATAACCCCAAATCCCAGGAAAATCACCAATGACCTGTCAGTTTGCCAAAACTCTTTCGTTCGATACTTCGATCCAATAAATACGAAAAGCGAATTAATCATTGAAATAATGTTAATAAGCCCGTATTTTAATTACGAAGTTGTTATACCCGTATGATTGGTATTATAATATTATATTATTTTTATAATTTTATAATACACACGCCCTACGTAAAGGGTTGAACGAATTTTGTCCGTTCATTTATCAGACATCTCTCGTCTGGCTGGTCCAAAATAATCCGCAACGGACAGACGCAAAGGTCAAACGGACGAGTGGACGGCCACCACATTATCCATTGGCCATATTAAATATTAAACATTATTATTTGATGCTTTCGTTATTATAATATAGTTATTAAAATCGTGTAGTACGAAAACAGTTTCTGTGCAGCGTGTGTGTACGTCGATGATGAAGAATAACAATTTAACGAGTTTTTTTCTTAGGTTTTTATTATTCATCAGCAAACTGTTAGATTAGAACCATCTATCTGATTATTCTGTAACCTATTAAGAGATTAGATTAACGTGCCCAAACCACCGCGCACTGCATCGGTTCATTCGTATATGCGTTCGATAAAGAACGATAAAAACCTCCGAAGGCTGTACGTTTCGTATACGTGTACGGTGTAATATTATTTAGTATAATGCTCGTTTATTCGTCTAAGTTTTCCGTTCGTTTGAAATAATCATTTAAACAATTATTACTGGAATTTTTTTTTTACCAGTATTCGGTTAAAAACTTAAAACGTCGTTAACTTGCAAATCGTTCGACCGGCTGATACTTCGAGGACATCCGCAGTATCGCAACACGACAGTTAGAGCCAAAAGGGCACGAAACATGTACGCAGTTACAGGTATACGAGCTGTAAAGCTGTTATTAATATTATTGTTAGTTTTCATCCAATTTATTGTAGGCTAGTAGTAAATATACGATAGGTAGTATTATCGTTTGCTTCGGCGCCGTTGTGTTTCTTCGTCGACCGTAATATATTTTAATACCGATCGCCGCCGTCTCGGGGAGGTACAAAAATTGTACCAAAATAGTCGCCCTGTAGTTCAAATTCAAAGGCTATTCTTCACACCCTCCGGCAGTCCTTTTCGCGCAGGGTGCAGCGTGAGGCGTGTAAAGCTGTAAACCTCGGTGTACACGAGAGTTTACCACGCCACATTCGCGATTATCTCACGACTAAAAATCAAATATTCTGTTTGATTCTATCACGCTGGGGTCATGTGGCTTTAAGTGTGGTTTACTCTCGTGATCCACGCCCCGTGTAAAAATACTATATCAACCTACGAAATCCTCTTTTATCGGGTCGTTTCAGACCATTATTGTCCAACTTACAATATCAACGGACAACGATAACCGTACGTTTATCGTATATTTTAATAATATGATGATGGGTGTAAGTACTAAGTTGCACTATTACGTTATCGCCAACAGCAATGACATACCTAGTATACTCTACATAGTACGTAATGTATATAAAAACCTAGGCACCCGGATAACGATGCAGCGCCGCCGCGTACCTATATTATGTCTGCCTGCTTGCCTACCAGCCCGTGTAGTATACTGAAGTTAATTATTCTTTGAAACACAATGCCCACAGTCCCACACCGAATTACCTTATCTATGTACACGAAAACAGCCTTCTTATCACACCGACATTAATTGTCCGAACCTGTGCACCAGCATATTTCGCAGCGCTATAGCTAGTGCCTATACTTATCTCGGTCGATTATATACCTTGTCGCCATGACGTAACCCTTCGTTAAAAGCTTATCTCACACACACATACACGCACGCGCGCGCCTCTATAATAATAATAATAATAATAATAATAATATATTATGTTGGTATACTATAATGTATAATGTAATAGTATTATTATTTGTGTACATAATATATATATATGTATATGACTATATGAGTCTTGTTTTTACGAGTTAGTACATTCCTACCGAAATATTACAACGGGCGACGAAACCATAATAATATAATATTATATCTGTATGTCCGCGTAAACAACACCTAAGTACCACCAATTTGATCAGCAAACTCAGAATCTCCTAGCGGTTATTGGTGATTATAACGCCTAATTAAAATTCACCTAATCATGATCGAGATCAAATAGTTTTTCCTTCCAAAAGTGGTTTTACATAACACAGGCTTAGATTCAACGATGACTCATTCACTCATTAGTATAGTAGTATAGTCCAATATTGTAAGATATTGACACCTACGACGCTTAGCTGTTGGCGCGGGTGTTAATTACACGGCGTACATCTTCTAGAAATTCGCTAGACTAAACCTGTTTAAAATTGTCCCACATTATCCGGAAACAGGGGTAATGAACCGTGTAGATACTATGGTCCAAACATCCCGATGCTTTATTTTTCACACCGGTTTAGCCTAGAAAATGTCTAGAAGCTTTGGGAAGGAAGACGGTGTCATCGGTTTTCACCGGTAGTAGTTCCATATCCACATGTTTATAAAAAAAACACAATTATACACGTATGCGTATAATCGTTTATTGTTATTTGTCGGTTATCTTATAACGTGCACCGCGACCATGTCCCGGAACGACTTTTTTACCCTCACTCTTGTGTTAGTATAACTATAACATAAAACAGGTATAGGTAATACCGTGCAGCCAACCAGCCAGTCCCGTCCGAACGCTAAGCATTATCACGATATAAAAATATTACCTAATATTATTACGTAGATAGGTATTTTTTATACGCACCACGTAAACGTAACACGTTTTCACACAATGCGTGCCCAGTTTGGATATATTTCTTAAAAAAACAATAATTCAACGTTCATGATAATAATAATATTAATTATGTGTTCGTGTTGACCAGGTGAAGAATTCACGGCGGAATACTTCCACGATTCGCTGTACCCGTGATCGGGAGATGAAGTCATGTTCCAATGTTCGTCTACGAGCACGGTCGGCGCCAACGCAGGTGTCGTCTCCAGTGACACGCGTGAGTACCCTATATATATAGTATATACCCTCGAACCCACCCCTTGTATCTGCACCAACGACGAATCCTGCCGTTGTCACCCCTTGCATCATACCCGGCAAGGGCCGTCATTATAATATCAACCCCTCCTATTAGGTCGAATAGAAGACTGATTTATGCGAGACGTGGGCAACAATAATATCATACATTCAGGGTTCTTCAAAATAATTCAACCGGTTTTAAATGGTTAAATTTTTTATAATTTTTTAGAGTTTAAACTGTTTTAAGTGTTAAATGATACATTAAATAAAAGAATAGTATTTTTAATTTAGTTTATGATAGAACATATAAAATATGTTCTATATGACTTATCTCGGTTATACGATTAACGTCTCTACGTCGATATTCAAATTCATTCCACATTTGCTCCAGGCTCAAGCATACCCCTTGTAATTGACCACGCTAATCGTTTAACAGTTCCTCTGTGGTTGATGATAATGGTGGGTGGTACGTATCTGGGGTGTAGTATATTTAACATGTCCCCAAAGTAAGTAATCACATTTAGTAGGAGCGAGAGACCGAGGAGGCCAGGTGCCAAGCATCAGAAGAATAATTTTTAATATCCTTGTATTATAGTATCAGTAAGGTAGGGTTGAACGTTGTTTTTTTACGTAATTTATCCGTCCCTTACTTGTCAGTTTAAATACAATCGATCATTATATATTGCGGTACCTGCACCGGAAATAGCCAACCGGTCTACCCTCGCATTCACTTAGCTAACATATTTTTAGTCATCGTCTCAACGATTCACGATTTACAATGTACATTTTACACAGTTGGAACAAAAGTTATTCATGATATTGAACACACTCCGGAACAACCGACCTTTTTTTATTTCGTACTGGCATTTCTTTTATTGGAGAGGTTTCAACGTATCAATATTAATTAACTTTGTTCTTATCATTCATAATGCATTAAATCGAGTTTGTAAAAAGTTAATAATTATATATACTTATAAATATAAATTGAAATGATAACGCACCCTACTAATATATAAATTATCATATTTTTAAGTTCATAATTTAGTCACAGTTTGATTGCGAGCCCGAAAGTGGTAGAAAAATAATGGTGATGAAATAACACAATCGAATATAACTATATTGGCAAACGACTCTAAAACCTTACAGGTCCTATGTGTGTGCTATTTTCGTGAATATTTCCAATGTCACCCACGGCCCAGAAAACCACACCTGGATAAAGACACTATTGAGCCCAGGACCAAACTTTTTAAAAGTTCATACCAGGGATACGTGAATTGTATCTTTTAAAATAAAAAGGCGATAATATCTTTCCTCGAGCTACGCTTGAATTTTACTTCATCAACAATTTTGCGCTAGCCATCATACTTGTTCCCATTAGGACAGCGGGACATCTGAACAATATACTGATATATATATATATATTGACAACAAAATCAATATACCTACTAAAAATATTAGGTATATTTAGAGTGGGTACCTCATTATTGTTGTATTGTAGGCATTAAAACATTTTGTAATCATTTTCTTAATATTTAATCATCTACTTTTTTCAATATTTATCAGAAATACATGATGTGTCAACACACGTTTTAATGAATGTATGCAAGTTGTTGATAAAATACAATTATAAAAAAATGGACTTTCGCTGAAAGTCTTGTAGTGATTGGTTGTAGTAGGGGTAAGTGGAACCGTGCCCATCATACTTATCAGTTATAGGCAACTCTCATATCATCAGAAAGTAGTATCGTTGTTATATTATCGATATTTGTATGCATTTATATTATGCTCGCTGGCTTTCGGTGAAATTAACTGTGCTCGTTTAATATGATTAAAACACACATTATAAAAATCAAAAAGTACCGATAAGACCGATTAAGAAAACGTTCTGTTGCGTTATCGATTCGATTTTTACGCCTTGACCTTTGACACGTCGTTCCTCCGCGATCCCCTGCTCTCGCAACAATAAAAACACACACACACTTAAGGCGTTATAATAAATAATTTCGATTGATCTATATAATATTATACGGTTTATGTGTGTGCATGAGATCTTAACACATATACACAATGAAAATATGTATATATTATTTTATATTTATATAAATATCACTTGGGACAGCGGCGTTTGGTTGGTCGGATTCGTTTCCCCATCTTTTATCGAACAATATATGATAATATGGTATTATACAATTGACACATTATTGTATTTTTAATTTTTAAAAGCAATCTCAGATCGCGACGAAACGCGACAATTATCATTAGTCCGCTGTGTGCGATTACGCACGCGATTAGCCGTCGTCGCGTTGGTTTGAAAACGTTTTTATTGCACTCTCGGACCGCACGTAGAAAACTAGCTCATAAATTATTAATTTTTTTTAACTAATGCATAAACGCTAATTTTATGTTATGTTTCTTTGTATCATTTTAAGTTTTCTTCATAATAATTATAATGTCTAAGAGTTTACGTTTTAAAAGTTTGGTGTTATACGGAAGAGAACGTTTTTAAAGTTGTATTCTTAAATACATAATATATAACTACTCGAAAAGAAGGTAAGAGAGAAAGATTGCTATTTTAGAAGTTAAATGTTGGTTTACATGACCAAATCGTAGATAATATATTTTCCATTCATTTTCTCGTGTTTGGAATACCAATATAATGTCGTAAATTAACTTATTATTCATTTATACAGTGATATATATTATATAATACATTTATGTATGCTAGGCTGTTAGTTGTTCGTGTTCCTTTATTCGTTTTCGATTTCAATACGCACTACGATTTAATAGTTTACTATAATATTATTATACTGTTATCTAATCGATGATACCTATATATTATTTGTCAAATTCTACGTATATAGACAGTATTTATACTATCATATCATACTTACAATTATTATAGATTGTCTTAATATATATATTTGCTGAATTATGGTAAATATTAAATTAAAATTGGATAAATTACCAAAATATAGTATACTATATTAAATTATGTTCACGGTTTAGCGTTTATAATAGTGGATAATATTATAATTTTCAATATTAAAAAGCAAAAATGAAGAGATTAGATTAACATCTATTATTCTAATTATTTTCTATAAATTACTCTTTAGTCTTCATTGTGAAAACAAAGATTAAAATATAGATTATAATTAGGAATTAAATTTACCAAATTGATAATAAATATTTTGGTCTTAAGTCATGACTCGTGCTGTATATAATATGATTATAAAGTAACTGAACGAAATAACAAAAATTATTAATAATTCACGTTAAAAGCTATTTTATGTAAAAAAAAAGTGTAAATAAAACAAATAATTATCTTTTAAAATTTAAATATTTATAATAGCAAGTGTTACAATTGTGAATAAATAATGCATATTTTTACTAATAAATATTTTAATGCAATTTGTTAATTGCCGCATAGGTAGGTATATATTTTGTATTATGACCCTACAAATGCCATCACTCATCGGGTTATTTTTTTTCTATGTTATTCATAATCTTGGACTAGATCAAACAGTTTTTAACTCAAAAGGGAAAATAAATAAAATATTAAAATTTGAATTATGCTTTTATTTGGGAGAATGTCATTTTCGCTAAAATAGTAAAATAAGGTATTCTGTAAAATGTGTACATAGAAAAAAATGTATTAGATTTATATAGATTAATCTTTATTTTCAGTCACAATGAACTAACAAAAATATAGCAATTCTTATAATTTTAAATTTTAATAATGACGTTCATCATCGTTTCCGCTGTCCCAACTCCGAAGTCTGTGACTGTAGTTTTTTACATTAAAATATGAAGCGATGTATTTTTGAAGGAATCCAATTTTTTGTTACACAGACAATTCACTTTAGTTTTCGAGTACCCACTGAGTTTTGAGTTCTTAAACTACCTTTGAAACAAACCGAGGTTCTTACATGTTTATGATCGTACGAAATGTGTAAAAAAGTGAGGAGTCAGCACAACTAGATGACCTAATCAAACGAACGCGTGGAACATGTCCGGTTTCTGATATTTCTTATTTAACGATCGGAAATTCATAATGATTTTTTTTTATCGATTACTCATTTTTCATAAATTAATAGTGGTACGCAGTACGTATTGATTATTTTTTTCTCGATCAATATTATATCGGACATTTGCAGCGGCTCCCTAGAGTTCTTTAATTCATTAATAAAAAACATTCTTATCAATATATACTTTCTTTGTCTTTCTAAACAACTATTTGGTATCATAAATTACTTAATCACTTAATCTAATTTTAAACTTTATACTTACTAGGTGATTTCCAATAAACACAATGAATAACATTTTTTTTTTTTTATAATTTTAAATCAAAAACAATTTCTGAAGAATAATTTTTCACAGCACGCGTCGATAACAACTACCTACCTATATAATCCATAAATGTAATACATTATTATTAACTCATATTATTTATAATATATACCCAATACATTTTTTTTTAAATTCAATCCAAGGGATGGATTTTAATTGAGTATTCAATTAAAAATATTGAAATATATAGGTATTTGTTTATTACTTAATAATTATTTGAATATTTGAATTGAAAATCAGATATGAATTATTTGGTATAATATATATATAATATATATATATATTAAAAATGTTTATCTTGAATCATTCCAATTATCTTCGAGAGGGAAGCAGTTAGAAATTACATATAACTCGAAACTTTCAAATTTAAAACGACGGCGATTCGATATTAACCCCAGATTACTAACCTTATATTTATCCGCCTTAATATTATGAACAATTAACTATTTTTAATTGGTTCATTCAATAAATCAAAAATATAATTTATAAAAACACAATAAACAAACTCTTGGGTAACTTTATTGTAAAAAATATGAGTGAAAAAATATTTTTTCTCATTTTTCAAATATAAAATTGTTAAACCTCAACATAAATTATAACTTCATAAAATTAAAAAATAATTATACAAATGTTGATTTAAATGTGGAAGAAATTATCGATAGATTTTTTACCATGAAAATGGGATTTTATACTTTAGTTTGTATTTTTATTTAAAAAAAAAATATGTAAATTGTTTTATTTTTTTCTTCTACCTACTTAAAAGTTTAATATACCTAGGTAATTGTATGTGCATATAATAATCAAATACATTTCTCTCCTCGACATTCGTAATACATATTGTTTAAAGTTTTATTTATTATTATTACTATTATTATTCCTAATATTCCTATTTCCTAAATATACTTACTTTTGAACACTCAAAAAATGACATACATAAAGTTTGAATATTTAGCATAATAGTTGTCACATTAAAAATAATGAGTAAGTAGGAAGAAATTGTTTTATTATGTTGCTGTACAATTTGTACTGCTATATTTTGTTTATTGTAGGTATTTCAAAATTATTTTTCGGGATTTTGTTCAATAAATACTAAATAGTATGCCCCTTATCGACATTATAACGTTAAATCTTGTGTTTTTTTCCAATATATTTTAAATTTTGAATTGGTCTAAACTCCAATTTCTTCTGGAACACTTTCCGAGGTTATTGAAATATCTACCTACCATCAACTAGTTATATACGATATCGAATCATTGACGTTTGATATCAAAAGGTGTACAGTGTACAGACCTAATCATGCCGCGTCGTACATCGTAAAATACTAAATTAAAAACGGAAATTCTTAAATAATACAGAATACATATATTTATTTGTCAGATATTTAAAATAAAATTAGCATCAGATTATTCGAAATTAAATGAAACGTATACTTATATCAAAATCGTCCCAATGTCAGGAACATAAAAATATTTATTTAAACTAAAATCCGTTACTCATATACGTCACTTCTTAAAAAGTGTCTTCTATATAAACATATTCATATTATGATTGGTCTGATGCGTATGCCATATAGCAAAATATGTATTACTTACCTACCTCCATAATTAAGGCTGTGAATTTAATGCACTAAAGAACCTTAAAAAATTCATTTAAAATGCAAAAAATGCAATATAAAATGCCAAAAATTATAATATAAAATTTATTTTAAATGGTTTTTAATTTATTTTTAATATTTATATTAATATTAGGTACAGGATATTATACATTAGTACATTACATGCATAAAAAAGTGTTTATTTAATAAAAAATTTAAAATGCAAAATTAAAGTTGGATAAATGGTTTCATAGTTACATAACTCAAATTATGTACTTACAAAGCTACGTTTTACAATCATCACCAAAAAAAAAATGCACTTTCCTACAAATTCACTGCCCTATTCATTAATACATATCGTATTATTGTAATACTATATACTTATACCGAAATGTATTATTAAACGCATACATTGGTTTTTGTGGTTACAGAAAACGGTTACCGCGGTCATTACCATCACGATCGAATAGTGTACGTGCCGTCGTCCAAGCCAAATATGTTCGGTCTTGCGCACCACCAGTACGGCGCACCATCGCCGACGCCGCTGCCACCGCCGCCACCGTCCACGGACGGCACCGCAGTACCCGGGGCCACCACTCACACGTGGCAGAACACGCCGGCCCGGGTACAGAGCAGCAGTCACCACGTCCCTGCCGCCGCCGGTTCGCCGGCCACCAACAACGGTGGCGGGATGTCCACGGGTGGACACCCGAACGTCGTCCCGATGTCGTCATCATCGTCGGCCACCCCGCCGTTCTACCAGAGTGCCGCCGCCGCTGCAGCCGCCGCGGCCATTATGTGGCCCAACCCTACAGCCGCCGCATTCCAGGCTCATCACTACGGTACGACCATATAAACATTACACGAAATCGTCAAATGATAACATTTTAACGTTCCACTATTATAAATATTTTACTGCATGAGCATGATAATAACGAATTTGTTCGGCCAGCGTTTGACGATAATAATATTTATTGTAACCAAAGATGGGACATTTTGGTGTACAATTTTTAAGTTCTAATTCAATTAAGAGTCAATTACAGTACGATATGCTGAAAATATCATATCATAAAATGACCATTATCTTCATCACTATCATGTCTTCAATATCATCCGTAATGTTATCTTCATAAATATTATCTTCATCACCAATATCTTTATCAATAGTATACCGTCCCAATTCAAGCATATCAAAATTTCAAATAGGTAATGATTTTGATAAGTTTGAATAAAATCACATTCAAAAATTCAATAATATCGAAGTTACGGTTTAATCGTAGTACACTAGTACCCCAAATACATGTGATCGTAGTTGTCAGTTAACATCTAATGAAAAACGTCATCTAGGATGCCATTGGTAATAACTATAACTAATAATTGATTTTTTTTTTAAATTTTTGGTTCCAAATCGGGCTTTTTCATCCGTGCAATTGTACGAAACAATTTTTTTTTTTTCATAAAACTATTTTTTAAATTCTTTATTATGACGAAAATTCTATTTTATCAACAGATAAGTACATACTTAGCTATTTTTGAAACAACGCTAATATCTAAACATAAAATACACATATTCTTATGCAGATAATTTTGCATATAGTCACCACGTTGATATGTGTGCAGGTAATAACAATAATTATTAATATCAAAATATAATATTGTTCGTTATTCAATTGTTTGTTTATACAGTCATGAAACCAATTTTTATCTAAACTTTCTTAAAAATGTATCATTTATGGTTTATTTTAATCCATTACAATATTATATGTCTGTATTTGTTAATAATATTATCAAACAATACAATTTTCGCTCTGCTAATTTTTGCATTTTAATAAATTAGTTTTCCATCAAAACCTTATTGTAAAAACGTATTGGACTATAATTTAAAATTAAGATAATATTATATTATGATTTATCATTTTCTTTTCATACACGATAGTTATGACTTATAACAGACTCATTTAAGACTTGGGAATTAATGGAAAAGTCAAAATATGAAGTAATTTCCAAACGCACTTTATACTTTCCTAATTTTCAATACATTGATTAATTAAATATAAACACTACTCAACTGTCAATAGTGTTTTTGTTCTTAGACCAAATAAGAAATTTGATCATCAATAATATAATCCTAACTTCATTGTTTGAGTAATGATAACATAATATTTCTTATAAATTACATAGATATGTTTTATATTTACTATTTAGGTGTACACGTGGTACGTGAATATGTAAATAATAAATACTTTCGATTATAATCTAACTGCCTTTTGCAAGTCACTGTTCATTTTTATAAAACAATTTATAATAAATTATCGATGATAAAATGAAAAACGGTTGGTCATATATTATATTACTAGGTTCTAGGTTATTAATTATTATGATTAAAAGTAAGACATAATTATAAGATAATGATTTGATATTCAGTTATGAACTATATTATTTTAAATTATTGTAATTGGATCGTTTGATCCGTTGAAATAAATAAATAAAATAAAAAATAAAAAATAATCAATCTTAAAAAGTGAATGAACATATCGATGATTCTCATCGATCACTGTAGCCTGTATATTTATTATTCATTTCATATACACATATTTTTTACTCAGATAACTTAAATTGTTTTATTGTTATGAGTGCTATTATACCACTTAATACAATGTCCTGTTTATAAATTTCAGTAAACATTATGTAGATACACAAAATAAATGCACTATACTCTGTGGCCTATAATATAACAAATAAATAATACTATTTACTAAAAAAATTTTAGCTTAGGTACCCTATGTACGAAAATTATTTTAGGATTTTTGGAAATAAAAATATATCTACCAATGTTATTGTATAACATACATAGATGTCATGTTGTGACGAAAATTCAAATTGTAAATGCTTTTGGAAAAGTAAAGTTAGTTTGAAAAGCAAAGATAGTCAATAAAACTTAGTGTTAGTCGTGACTATACTACTCAACCTCATATGTAAACATATTTTCAATGAAATAAATTTTATTTATGCATAATGCTTCATCCAATGTCGACTTAGTTCCAACCAAAGTATTATATTCTTGTACATGGTAATAATAATTGTTGAAAGTTTAAGTTAATACGTGAAGTTTTATTTAATTTTTTAAATAGGTTTTCTTTACTGTTTTAATTTTGTATGATATAGGCAGTTAATGCGCTCATACTAAAGACTCAATATCAAGACGTATAAACACATAATTTATTGAATAATCGTAACTATATTACATCGTTTTACCCTTACTGCAAACTACTCGTCTATAGACAGTTATGACAAAAATTGTAGTTTTTGTGTAAACAATTTTCCTTCAAATCGTCTTTTTCAGCTTTTAAAATAATACAAATTTACAATCTTCTGCGTGCTTTTTTAGCAGCAAAAATATTAATAACATTGCTATAATTGAGTTTGATATAACGCTATTCTTCGGACATTAACCTTATTTGCATACAAATCTGGGAACTGTTGAGGGTTTTTAGTGAATCACTTTAATAACCGAATGAAATTGGAAATGTTTATAATGATAACGAGATTAATCGAATACAGGATATTTATTTAATTAATATTAATTGGAATAAATGTCTGGTTTATAACGATAACTATCTAATTGTACCTATGTATTTGGCTAAAACATGAGACGCGAATAAAAATATTTTCCGTTTTAATGCAATTAACCGTAACATACTATTTAATCAGTTCGTCAAAACGATATGTTTTTTACATTTCGTCATCGTGATCATGTTTTTATCGTTTTACATGTCCCTAAGCTGTGTATTTTCTGTAAAATTATCATTGGTAAATTAACGTTAATATCAATATAATATTATCAGTATTTGTTAAGGTAAGATAATACTCGTTGAAGTATATACTTAGACTCTTAATACTTAGATACTTACTGTTGCCTACTAACGATTTTGTACACGGTACATAGTAGGTATATTTCTATTTTGATATTATGTAGGTGCATATATATATATTTCTAATCGTTGTAAAATATTACTAGCTTAATAAAATAATACATTACATTAAAGCCAATGATTATAAATCACGATACATTAATATATCACACACATTTTTGATTGTTGAAATTTTAATAATTAACTCTAATTAGGAAAAATCATTTTGTCATTTAAAAAATTGAGTATGCTTTTTAATTAGCTCTAGAGTACTACAATTAAGTTTGCAAAATAATTAATAATTACAACGACATTATCTGCAGTCATTTCTATTAACTAAACACGAACTCAAAAATAAATTTAAATTAAAATCAGAACGATTGAAGAACTTAACTATAATATCTATTCTATGTACAATAGTGTATAGTAATGCGCGTATTGTGGAGTGGGCTATTTAAAATCGGATTCTCGTCATTGAATTATATGTGTTTTAAATTTTAATGATAAAGTATTTGAACAACATAAACTTTTTACGAATAATCATGTTTATGATATATAATCACATATACAATAAGTTATTTTTCTTTATCTCTAATAATTTTTTAGATTATCTAGCACTCTTGAATAAACATTATACAAATAGTCTCGATTCAAAACTAAAACTATTAGACATTTAAAAACATAATATAGTAGGTATATGTGTTTGTTTCTGTAGTGTCATTGCATTTAACGATTGTATAAGAACATAGGTTATATTTTGCTTCTCTTCGTAATTTATATTCATCTCTGTATTTATTTTTAATAATTCTTATTGATTTGTATAATACTTTTAAACAAAATTCGTTAGAATTATCGGGAATCGACGACGACGACGACGACGACGACAAAGTTTCTTGAAATAAGTTCATATTTAAATTTGTAAGTACGCAATAAAATTTTTTAGTGATTTTTAAAAAGTAAAAAATATTCATCGTAAATAACAATAGTATAATTTAGTTTACTATAAAAATCGTCAACGTTCTAGGTACTTAAGTATACGAAACATGAAGGTAAAATCATTCATTATGATTATCGTTAAATATTTATGAAAAAGTCAATCTATTAGACCGTAAACTAAATGTCGCCGCATTATACTCCGGTAGTTAGTGGGTTTTATAATATAGGTAATAGGTGGCCTGTGTACAGGGGTATGCATGTGCGTGTGTTTGAGTGTGGGTCTGTGTTCACACAAGTCGGATCACTAGTCCAGACGATTACCGATCGACTACCGTTTTGCTGGCGACGACGACGACCCGATGACCGGTTTCTTCTTCATGTTCATTGTCGTCGAGCGTCGTCGTCGTCGTTGTCGTCGTGTGTTGGCGCGTCGAAGGCGGCGGTGGCGTTATTATTGTAGGTGTATATAATATAATATTATGGAATACAAATAAAAAAATATTTGAAAAAACCCCACCGACCTCCGATCCGATCGGAACATGACAAATTACTCAACCCGAGGGACCAAACACGATCAATTAGTCCCGAGTGCATTAACCGGTTGCTCGCCCCTTCCCCCTTCACGCTCGTATGGTAATTTATGTTTGGCGCCATAAGGTTTTTAAAACACACTCATGCACGCACACTTATGTACATATTATATTATTTTATTTTATTTTATTTATTACATTTATACGTTTTTTTTTTTTTTTATACATACTATTATTATATTCTGTTATTTTATTATTATTATTATTATTATTATTATTATTATTATCTGTTTTCACGTCACACGCCGCGTTCGGTCTCGTCTGCTTTCAACTATTGACTTTCAATAAAGGCATTCACACGGAATTCTGCTCCGCGCATGCTGTATCTGTAAAATAATAATAATACAAATAATAAAGGTACTATACCTCCTTCCAGGTCCGTGTTGCAAAGATGGAAATGCAAAATAATTCACCTGTAAACAGTAATAATTATTGCGTCCCGCGACAAATAACAATAATACGATACGGGATGTGTGGTGAATAATATTGTCTAAAACGTCTCTCTTGTCGTGTTTCAGACGCCGGAATGGATTTGCAGTTCGGAGACGGCCGGGAGTGCGTCAACTGCGGCGCAATCTCCACGCCGTTGTGGCGCCGCGATGGCACCGGACACTATCTGTGCAACGCATGCGGCCTGTACCACAAGATGAACGGCATGAACAGACCGCTTGTCAAGCCTGCCAAAAGATTGGTCTCCTTCGAGACCGTGAGTCTAGACTTAACCTCAATAATAGTGCAATAATTGTAGTGGCCTACATTAAAAACAAAACTGTTTATTACTATTAATTACTTACTCGTGAACGTCATGAAGTAAGCCTGACGAGCTCCGTCATCGACGACCTTTACGTTTATGATCATACACTCCCAGGCTTTCCAGCCTCTATGTTTTTTTTTTCTAAAAACGTGCTAAAATATTTTTCCCGAAACTTTTGACGGTGGGCAAGGGAGGGTTGGTCACAAATACTCTTATGAAATTTTACAACTCACTTATATATTTGTACATAGCCGTTTGTCTTATTGAAAATTCATACTAGGCATAAATATAGTGACACACTGTATCTTAAATGGGTTCAGATGTTACGATTGTGTTTAATCACTTATAGTTCAACAGAAATAAATCCGTAAATCCTTAAATCTTTCGTCTCTGTATACCTATATTTTAATGATTTCATAATTTACTTAACAATTTGAAATGTTGTAATGATATGGTCTATAATACTTATTGATGGTTGTATATTGTTAGAACTAAAATCTAAAGTAACTGGATTTTTATAAAAATATTTTATTCGAGAATATTTAGTTTATTTGATTATTATTAAGTCTTATTGGCAAGTGAAGTTGCAGTATTTGTATGATATGAAGACCATCATTTTGTGATGTATTATAAATTACAATATTTAACTTCCATTGTTTTGAATTGAGAAAATATATATTGTGTACAATTCTTTATCATTATAAAATATTAAAATTTTAAGTTTTTGCACAATTGAATTTTTTCCCTGAACATTTACGATTTATTTAAGTACAACGAAGACACATATATAATATGTTTATATATAGACGCGTCGTTATAGACTATAACTTGAACCATGAAAACTTGAAAATCTCAATAATGCGTATTTTTCTTGCTACCTGAAGTGTTTTGAGATTTGTTTGAGGTATATAACTAAAAAAATACATAAGTTAAATTTATTTTTATTTCCTTCGAAATTTGAGCTATCGAGACTAGATTGTACTTTTAAATTTTAACATTTGTAATAATGTAAATTAGTTATCGGTCACAGATAGCAGTACAAATTATTGAATATTTGATAGAAATATAAGTATATCATAAAATTAAAATAATCGTTTGTATAGATTATACATCATTTTGGATTTAACGTTCTTTTAGTAGGCTTAGTTTCACAGTGAAGATCACGTTTTCACGTTGGTGACTTTGTAGTCTGTCGAATTGTTAGTCGTAGGCCAGTAAATAGTGAGGAAACTTATGTACCTACTTAACACCTATAGCAAATATATAAGCAAATAGTTTCCTTTTTAGGGATTTTTATCACAGTTTGCTAAAATGTATGTACTTATTCAAGTTGTTTTTTTTTTTGCAAACGAGTTACAACCATATTAAGGCATTAATAATTAAACTCCGTGGCAGTTAATGTAATGAAATTCGAAGACGTAGAATATGTACATGTATAAGTTCAACACCGTACGGTACATGTTTTCTTTGATCATTATTCAAGAATGTGTGCATTTTATTGTGTCTAGCTTTTTATCCCTAATTAAATTAAATTATTATCAGGCTTGCGATAATGAGAGGTTTCATTATTACAATTTACAATAATTTCTTAACGAAGTCATAAATAAAATTATTTAATTTTATTAATTTCCACTAACATTAATCGTCATTATCCTTTTGTACAAATTCGGCTACTCGATTAACTATTTAATTATAATTGATGTTTAAACAAAATTCAGTATATATAAATATTATAGCAATGCATAGTAGTACGTATTATTTCTATTATTTTCGTACATTTTTCAGATATCAGGTATCCATACGAGATGTATGAATGCAGATAGTTTACTTTTTTTTTGTGGAGGATGGGGCAAGATTTGTGAAAACAATATACTCCCATATGGTCATGTGTATAGTTCTAAACTTTAAAAAAAGATAGCTCACTCTTTGGGCTCGTTTCGATCGTTGTGTTCAAATATAACATAACGTATTACGTTATTCAATTATTTTATGGTATATTTAAATAATTAATTTTCTCCGTAGGCATCCAACAGACGCCTTGGTCTGTCGTGTACGAATTGCGGCACCCGAATGACCACTTTGTGGAGGAGAAATAACGACGGCGAGCCCGTGTGCAACGCGTGCGGTCTGTACTACAAACTGCATGGCGTCAACAGGCCGCTGACGATGAGAAAGGACGGTATCCAGACAAGGAAAAGGAAACCTAAGAAGCAGCCTTCGTCGTCGTCCTCTTCTTCTAACGGTTCGTCAAATGTGGAGAACCATAAACAATCCACTTCCGCGGCCATAGATCTATTAGGTTAGTGTAAAAATCGTACAATTCTATAATATCATTACATGATACCAACTAGAGTTTTTAAAAACATTCAACATTTTAAAGACACAGAAATAAAATGTATAGATACGGTAACAAAAGTCATGAGATTCGTGGCAAAGAATGTAGTAGGTAGTAGAGAGTAGTTACTATAGTCAATTCGTAGCGTATATAACAGGGTGATAAAAAAAAATAATGATCGATTGACCTGAAGCTAAAAAACCTACGAAGGAAATTATAGCACTTTACAAAGAGACGTCTCGTCATTAAAATGTTGAACGGCGATAAAAATAAGAGGTTGTAGATAATTAAAACTTTAAAGTTGTATATATAGTAATATGATAATGAAATGAGATAAAACCATAATACCTACACTATAAACGGCGTTAATACTCGATAGTCGAATGTACCAAACTATTACACATAATATAATATTAATTATTATATATTTGAAAACGGTTTTATAGATCTAACTAGCCATGTATGGCAGCATAGAAAATAAAAACATTTATTATTTTGTTCACCCCATGTCCGAATCACGGAGATAAATAATAATATTATGTTATAAATCAAATATTTTTTTGATTGAAATCATTAAATTCAGATTCGGATCCGTTGGACGTTAATTAATCGTGGATTCTGTTTCAGTCCTATGATTATTGATTTCAATATCCTATATACGTCGTTTTGTTCGTGGCCTCGTGAATGCTCAATAATATATTAGTCATGATAATTGAATTTATCTCAGCAACTTAAAGTACTCATAGATAATATGATCTATGTATATGTTGTATTGATTATGAACCACTCGAATGACGAATTTATCGTGGCTGGTTGAAAAAGCAGATTTTGCTTATCATTTGCAGCCGTGGTTACGCCTGGAAAACATTTTATAACTTTAATGCATATAGACTATATGCATAGACTATTCCTTAAACAACTATACAGAGCATCCGGACAAGGCGCGGTCGGGCGGTGTTGTAGTCTCGTGATAAAAAGGTCGCAATTATAATATACACAGATAAGATTAAAATTGTTGTAAAATGGAAAAACCTTTGTGCGCATGTGCGGTGTACATTTTACCCCTAGAGCAGCGCATTCACAACAGACCTCTGAAACTACAGTCGTACTCCGTCTATAGTAGTATGAATTCTATGATTTAATACAGTTTCGCATAAAAGCGTAGTGCAAAGTGAACTTAAGATATACGATAAACATGTATTTTTAGCCACTTCTATTATCAGTAAAAAAAGAACAAACTTGCACTATTTATTAATTGCAGTGATTAATTATGGTATATAATAAAATTTTAAGTGTCATCGTATATAATATTGATAAAACGATATGATATTTTAAACAAAGATAGGTTTTTAAAACGATTTACCGGGTTTTTAACAATAAAATAAGTAATACAATTTTGGTTTTACATTATAATTACAGCTTTTTAAAGTTTTAGCATTTTTCTATTTTATTTTATATAGTCATAAATATTATCTAGGTAATTAAATAAATACTTAGGTCAAATAAAAGTCACAATTTAAATCTGAAGTTGTGATAAAAACTGTATTTAGCATATTTTAAGGTTTTTGTTTTTGTTAGGACATAATAATATATATGCTATTAACTATTCAACAAAAAGAAAAATATATTATTAAAAGAAAAATGACTATATTATACTAAAATTGTATAAATACTGTGAGCTTACCCCACAATAAACTTTGCGCTCTTCATCTTCGCCACAGATGATAATTGCTCTTATTATGTAATATTGACTTATGATGACGATATTTGAAAGCCGAATATCGGACAAAATTTATATGGCAGTGACATAGTTAAACAAAAAGAGATAGACCAATGATAAAAGTATTATTAATTGACATAAAATCAAAATTTCAAAAATGCAGTCACTACAAAGGTGTATTATTGTATATTTGGTAATTTTTTGGTGTATAACTGCACGTATATGTGAATGTGTGTTCGTGTTTTTGTAAGTCCTTTAGAGTTTATACCTAATACCACATGAGCAAGTTTAATACCAGTCACGTGACTATATGATAACAGATGAATTAACACAAATTGTTTTTTTGTTTTTAGTGAACAAACATCATTCGACGGTAGAAATCAAACACGAACACAATTACGATCCAGCGGCGGCTGCGGCTGCCGCTGCGGTGGCCGCGGAACACTTCCTCTTTCCCGGCACGGCGGGCGGCCATCATCATCCCCAGCTGGGCGGGTTCAGTTTTCCGCTCCCTCAGGCTCCGGTGCCGGCACACAACTACCAACACCTGTTGAACGGACACGTCAACAATAAACTGATGGCGTCATAGAATCTGACTTGTATATAGATTGAAGTCTGAAACAGTCGCCGTTATTGGATTTTGTACATAATTAAAATATAGTATAACCTATATATATATAAATATATCATAATATTATCATATTAAAAATATAATAATATATATTATATATTATAATAATATATAATGTAGCCAACCAAGTTCGACTTCTTGCAATTTCTCGACTTAATAAAATACACAATGATACTAACAAAATTAAGACATTATAATTTGCGTAGTTGTATGTACCTACTGAGTACTGAAGTCTGAAACACCAACGGTTTGACGAAATATGTGTTAGGTATAGTAAAAAAAGCATATAATGATAATGGCAATTCATCGTAAACGTGCACATTTTTTTAACGCGCAATACAATATTGTATCACGCTATCTTACTAAAACTTTATTTAAAACTATAGTTATTGCTAATCACGTCAGTCGTGTAGTTCTATTGTGTTTAAATTTTAGTGTGGTCAATAAATGTGCGTTCTAGTTTTAAAATTTAAATGACATTTACGAAGAAAGGACATTTTAACGACTAACTGTTTTCAAATTTGTCTAGTCTTTTATACGTATGTTTTATACATACGCGTAATATCTATATGATGTAAGCATGCAATGCATCGATTTCCAGATTTTTTTTATATTTTTCGTACCGACGGTTTTCGCTTAACGCTTAGTACTCACGAAATTATATTCATCTGTTAAAAATTGTACATAATATTTTATTACCTGGACTTATATAATACGTGTTTCTTCAGAGCGTTAGAAATTATATTTGGCATGTCCTCACTTATAAAAAGCCAAATTTCGATTTTTCATTATGTATATATATATATATTAACTTAGTAGATTTATTATTAATTTATATAATGTGTAAGTATATTTATTGTACAGAGTACATACTTCATGGAATGTAAAAAAAACTATTTTATAAATATGGTAATATATATTTACGACTTAATTATTGTATACAATTAAATGGCTATCATCGTAATGTTATTGTTGTAGCAGCAAATACTACGAGCATGACGATTGGTGCGCGTATCTATCGTTTATAATAAATATTGTCTCCAACATTATGTATATTATATAATAATATGTCTTACTAAACATATAGAAATTATCTATCAGTCTCAATGTATTCTACTCTAATAACACGGTGACAACATTTTTGTATTTAATAACAATTATTAAACTATTATATCAAAATCATAAATAAAAAACCATTTTTTCTTATATTGTATAAAATCGTAATGTACAATTGTGCATTTTTATTGAAATTGTTCGCGTTTCTTTGCGATACTAACCAACCAAATGAACCAACCAAGGCATGATTTAAAGTTGAACGATTTATCATTAATTTATAATCGAAGATCTCTTTGGTAATGAGTTGGTCCTAAAAGGTTCTAAAGCATTGAGAGGGTTTTGGGGGATCAATCCTCCAAACATTTGAAATATGGCTGGATAATTTACTATTTACAATATATATTGGTATTACCTGTTGTGTGAGAAAAATACTCGGCTTTGGTTTCTTATACGAAGCAAGATAAATATTTAGTTAGAAGTTAACACAGATACGTCTATTTTACATATTGAAAGAAAGAGATATTTTCAATGAGTTTGAATCGAAAGGAACTTGAAACAAGTTTGAGCAAAATGAGATACAGTTCAGCCTAATACCTGTTAATAATAGGTAGGTATTAATGTTATGCCTACATTATACAATACATAAGTACAGCATACCTATTATAAAATTATATATTATACTCAGATTATATTAATTTATATAATACATGTATAAATACATGGTTGATTTGTTCTATAAGGTGATTCAGTGAGAAATAATTTTAAGCGACACATACGTCCCCCCCAACATATCATAAGGCCTAGGTATGTCTATGTGGCCATGTCCATAATAATGTTCTTTAAAAATAAATATCTGCAGATTACCGATAGTACGCGAGTTCGTTAAATCAACTTGACAGTTTATAATTATTGCTATTTGTTAATTTAGGTACTATATCAACTATTGAATTTACAGCGTATATGCTGAGTTGCATGAACAATCACTAAACATTTAATGAATCAATAGTGAGCTAATAGTCCTTTAAACATGATTTAGTGGCCCATGATTGGTGTATTAAACTTTATTGGACCATTAAATTAAAACATTTTTCATGCAACTCGGCATATTGCATATATTTTTTTCAATGTTGTAATCTTTTTTAAACATTTAATTGTTTTCGAGACAACGATAACCAAGCCAGATCTAATGGTAAAATACTAATACGTAATACTAAAATATGTAATTATGATCGAAAGCCTTAATAACGAAAAATAATTAGGTACGATTATCAATAGCGATAGTTCATACATGTTTAATAGCTATAGCTTGAGGACAAATTAATAATTCGACGATTGTATCGATTAGATTTAAAAAATAAAGTTACTTTATGACAGTAATGTAAGCAATAGCGTTCGTTTGAAATGTTAAGATCAGTCAGCAGGTATATGTATGTTATATTATATGGAACTATACAAATGAGTGATTACTAATAGCCACGAGCTCTCGGTAAAATACAATAATATATTATTATTATAATCTCGATGTAAACATTACGAATGGTTTTTATGGCAGCCAAAAACGCGTCAGGCTTGAGTAGTTGAGTCACCCGTTCCAAATGTATAATTGTATAGACAATAATAAAACATTACGTGTGTAATACATATATTTCGTATGTAAGCTTGACCTAAATTTACACATTATTATAGATACTAATAAAGGTTAGGTTACGAGAGCTATCTGGGGACCTATTCTCAGTACGATTCCTTTAAACTTTGCCTAAACATAAATAATTTCATTAACAGGTAGAAATAGTTTATTACACCAAGTCATTAGGTTGAAAGTTCATCTAATAATTTAATTCATTACCTACTACATGAATGAAACGTACTGAATAAATAACGGACTTAAAGTAATATATCTCAGGCAATAATTGCATATAAATACCACGATTTGATAAAAAAAAAAAAAATGAATACACAATTATACGTAGGTAGGTAATTATAGTTTAAAATATAATTTTTCCAAGCAATTTACATTTTACAGTGAAACAAAAATATTGTATACGATCTCTATTATTATCATTCGTTGCTATCGTCGTATACTCAAACCAGTTACTTATTGATTTCGTACGATTTATCGATTTATAATATTTCATTCTGATGTCAATGACTTTTTATACGATTCCCAAAACGTTTAGTTAATAAATGTGAGCATAACATTGCCCAGTCTTATAATGACGAAAATATATTATGTTTCAATTTAAGCGAAATAGCTAGACTATAATTATACAAGCTACACATTTAATGAGTAAAATTGTTTGTTTCACATTCTATATTATAATATTATGCACATTCAAACACGATATAGATAGTATCATTGTTTTAAATCGTTCAAAACAATCCTGGTTGGTAATTTACACTAAGATTATACATCACATAACTCCTTTAGATCATTAGCCTGTTTTTCACCAAGAGTATTTCAAAATTAGTATATACGAATATTGACCTGCGATCAAGCTTAATATCTAATTTATATGGATAATATTGATCAGAAGTTCTCAAAACTTTGTTTTTGTATAGATAAACCTTAAGAATTAAAAAGCTAACAAACTACTTAAATGATAAATTGGTAAAATATAATGATCATTTTTAATTTAAAACCTGTATACCAGTTTGAGAAACTCTGATATTGACAATATAGTATATCATATTTTATACCTATCACATTAGTATGTTATATGGTTTGTCGTAAACAAACAATAAAATCGATTTAAACAATTCATTATATATTTTTAGTACAAAAGTTACAATATTATATTATTATTATTATATTATGATCTATGAATATTTACTAAAAAGTATGTTGGTTGGGTTTTCTAATTTTTTTTTTTAAAATAAATGTTTTATAGGATACATTTGAACTTTTAATACATTATCGTTGAACTTAAATTAGATAACATATATTAAGCCTATTACACATATATTAGATATTGTATACATACAATTATACTTTCATTATTATTATATTTATGCAAAATATTTCAATTCCAGAAAAATTTAAATATTCATTCAAGTGATTACTTCTAGCGTGTGTTGTGTATATTAACATACGCACGCGTTTTTATTTAAAATTGTATTTACTAATTTTAATTATTTTTAGACAATTTTTCAGGGCGTAGGTGAAGTTAGACCCTCCCACTTTGACTTATCGAATCAAAATCTTCACCAATATTTTACAAGTTAATTGCAAATATTTGCGGACCAGCTGTTTATGAGCAGTGACAGAAGGAATTCGGATGAGAGGGCCAATTTCACATAACACACCAAAGTTCACAAGCTGCTTCAAAATATGATAAATTATATATTATTTTATTCCTACTATTATTATATAGTGATGAAAGTCATTGATCGAATATGATCTATAAGAATGTATTAAGGAATTAACTAGGAGACTTGATCAGGCAAATAACAGATATATGTTGAATCAATGACCAATAACTTAAGAACCAGAGATTTTACAGTATTTTTTATAAATCCTTTGGATTTATAAATAGGATAGATACAAATTTAGGAATTTCCAATGTGATAAAAATTTGATTAGGTATAAGATTTAAAAAGTTGCTGACATTTGGTACAAACTCAATCTGTTGAAACAACATCGATATCGATATTGATTCCAAAACCAAAGTAAATGGGAATAATAGGAGGATGGTGAATAATTAGAAACCGAGAAAAAATAAATTCCAGAAGTGAATTATTATTTTTCGTACTGCAATATTACGCAGGTAGGTAAATAAAACTGTGTAAAATTTCCAATACACAATGATGCATTAGATTTCATTTATGTTTAAGAACGTCAAATATTAGAATTTTACTAAAAAAGTATCAAAATTTAAAATTTAAAATGATAAAGGTACTTTGCAATTGTAAAATATTTAAGTTTAATATCATGCAAATTTCAAATCTTTAATAATATTATCACACATATATGAACATCGTTTATGTCTGAACTCTATACCATTAAACTCTGCAGACGCCCTACATCAAGAACGATTCGATTACCGATATATTATGAATTGTAATTATTTGTTAAGGCATTTGAAAAGAAAAATTAATATCAATAATACTGGAAGAATTGGAAATAAAACTCGAATAATATTGCACGTACTTTCGACCTAGTGCTTCAGGAATACAACTACCATATGAGAAATAAAAAAAAAATGAATCGTTTATTCTCAATAATAACAATATAATAATGATAATAAAATAATAATGACCGTCGACGTGACCCTTTAGGTTTTCAAGCTTTTTTCCTTTTAATGGATACATTCAGACGTCGGGATTTATGATATCTGGTTGACAGGTGGCAAAAGCAAACATTACTTTAATGGACGCGAACAAGGGATCAATGGTCAAACGGCGTCACCCAGCTGCTAAAATGCAGAATATTATTATTATTATATTATATCTATACGTGCGCGAAAATGGTCATGGCGGGTGGCTTGGATATAAGTGCATGCGCTAGCAGGGGCGGGCGCCCTCGCACGTCCTCGAAGGGACTTTTGAATGGCTTTTGAATAAATAATAATCCCGATAACTTATAGGGGCACCCCTCTTAAACGCACCCACCCAACAGTCCACTCGTTTGCGGCCGATTGTACGTATATTATTATTATTTACACTCGCACAATTATCCGCCCATTACCGATTTTGAATAACAGCAGCGATTTTCTTCACTTTCCACCAACCCCCATCCCACTGCATATATGTCACGATAACAACAATATAATACTATACTACCTTACCATAAGTGACGTGTGTGCATTTTTTTTCCCATTGTAGTGTTTTTCGTTTTGCCCTTTGGCGCAGGTACACACACACATACACACACACACACACACACACACACACACACACACACACACACACACACCACACAAACGCAAAACTCTTCTGGCGCAGTGCGCGTGTAGGTACCGAGTCCGCTGCAGACAATCTAAGACACCCTCGCAGAACGACCGCGGACGCGCCGGCGGCCAATACAATACATTATTATCATAATTTTATCGGAAAATAAAATAATTTATAGTTATTATACTGCGCACAGATAGCTGGAAACATACAACATCAATAACTATACAAGTCTGCATACGCATCATAATACGCCATCCCGCTGTACACGCACTCGATACAGCGATCAAGCTCGTTTTATATAATTTATAAATATATATACGACACGTATGGGTGAGTACAGATAATAATATAATATTGTGGTTTATGCTGGTACACAGAGTTACAGAGATCGATGTCGTTCGTCCGGCTCGTCGTCGGTCCTTCCTTCGACATCGACCCCTAGTAATTTGATAATACATATTTTCATACTACACATAATACATTCAAATATAATGTCTCTATTATGAAGGAGTAGGACAATAATCTTATATATTTATACGCTTATACCGTCGACCTCTGCGGTGTCTGGATAGATATCCATACTGTAACTACATTATTACACTTTAAGTGGACGATTTTTCGAGTAGCGAGAGGCCGGGCTGTTATAATATTATTCGATTTATACTCGTGTATTTATGTTATAATTTAAACGATCGATTGATCAAGTCGGCGTCAGCAGTGAGCGACAGCCGGTGTACGACGAGTTTGCTTTCGTATATACAATATTAAAATATGGTTATTAGTCGGTGAATATCTTAGTATTTATAGGTCCACAGATATTAAAGTAGAAACGACAAAAACGCACATTCATCAGTACCTACTTATTTACAGTATCATATTATATATTCATGTAATACACGCGTACCTTATACAAACTATCCGTCATTTTATTATTATGTACACGTCAGTTGTAGGTACACGTAACACGTTATTATTGCAATTATTTAAAACCCACCGTAGCGTCGTAAAAGAGTCACGAGTGTCCGAGTGTGCAAGAGGACGTTATTCATTTCTGTTGTTTTTAACGGCAATAATAACTGCACCAGTGCGCGTATTATAGATCATTATAATTTATAACGAGTACCTATAACGACAATGCTGCGTGTGCAATAATGCGCATTATGTACAATATTGTCGTACGACTCGTATACGGTTCGTATGTGTGTATGACGCGCTGTGGCCGTTATGTGTAAGACAATATTAATATGTTTTATGAAAACGCACGGGGAGAAGATAACGAAAATCAATTATCTGCGGATGTCGTTGTCCCGAGAGCGCTGTGTATAATAATGATAAATGCACTGTTTGTATAATAACGTATGCGTGTCCAAACAATAACGAAGAAACACATTTTTGTTAGGTATTTCATAATATAATCAAATTATGTATATTTATAATATACTAGGTATATGCTGAAAACCATAATGTTTATACACCGATGTTTACGTATTGGGATTAGTCGACGTGTCCGTGAAATCAATTAAGGTACGCGTATGTGTCTGTCTATCACTTATCAGCTATCAGATATTAGGTACTTATTAAGTTGACGTGGCGCATTTCTCTCAAGACCGAGTACATTAAATAAGTAAAAGTATTGTAGGCGCAACTAGTGACAATTTTCCGGGGTGGGGGGGGGGGCTAGAGTTGTATCAGAATCGCAAGCCCTGATAATTAATATCTTCAACTAAAATATCCTTAATCAACTGAGGTTGATAAGCCTCTTATTTTCACATTTGATTATAACATTGATCACTAATATATTATATTTAATTAATAGTTTACGTTTTTAGTGCAATTGTAGCAAAAATTATAAATATTAGTATATTATATATTATACACCTAATCGTCCTAATCAATGTTATAACTTATAATAGTATAATACACAATATGTTATATTTATATACAAAATAATCAAGAAAATAAATACATTAATTTCTTTATTATTATTGTGTATTTTTCATTCATTTTTATATCCTATACTATGTGTACCTATATAGGTAATAAGTTTATAATATGTATATGAATTTCAAAAATTATACTGTCTTGTTTTCCGCGATCACCTTAATGAAATCATCGTTTGCAAGAATTGTACGTCATGCCACGGCGTATTCTCTCCCAGGACAGAGTATAGTTATACTTATAGTTTGCATGGCGAAAATATTCTAATTTTTTTAAGGGAATTAAGGCCCTCCCAACGATATTCTCTAAGAATTATTTATGTTTAGTACTAAGTACCAACTTTTTAATTGGCCTAAGACTTGTCAAAAATGTGGAGGATTAGTCCCTCAAAGCCCTCCATGGTCTGGTTATAGTAACTTAACATCTATACGCAATATTAAATTTAATTGTTTTAAATACCACCCAATAATAGTAGGTGCATTTTAAATGTTTTTGTTTTTTACAATATTATATTTTAATTACAGTAATTTTAAAGTAAGTCTACAATGGTATATACACACAGACACACTGCTTTACCCCAAATGTTATTATTTGTTCATATTTTTCAATTTTTATTTTACATTATCGTAGGACGAACGCTACCGATTCCGGTATACTGCCGGGTGTGTGGTGATAAGTCGTTTGGAAAACACTACGGCGTTTACTGTTGTGATGGTTGCTCTTGTTTCTTCAAGCGGAGTGTCAGGCGGAGGATTGTATACACGTGTATTGGTGAGTTGATCGTTAGGTATTTAAAAGCGTGCGCTTTAATAATATTATAATATGCATATGGCATAGTGGGTAATAATACGTATATTAGACTATATTTTGTTTTATTAAAAATATTAATTAATTACACGCGTTTAGCCGGCACGGGTCAGTGTATTGTGGACAAGGCGAGAAGAAATTGGTGCCCGTTTTGTAGACTCCAAAAGTGTATGAAGGTCAACATGAACGTTTCTGGTAAATATTTCGTTTATAGATAATATCTTTAAGTATACATGATAATGTATTATATTATGGTGACATAATAAAGCGTCATATACTCATATCGCCATATTAAATTCATTTGACGCAGAACTTTTCCAGTTTGTTAGTTTTTTTATTGACTTCGTTATTTTTCTAAGAAACTGATCTCATGCTCTTTTTTTCTTAGCCGTCCAAGACGAACGAGGGCCAAGAAAGTCCAAGTTGCCTAAAATAACTGAAAGTAACACCCTAGTGCCAAAAAACTGGAAGACAAGAAGTAAGATATATATAAGTTAATGATTCCGTTACACCAACTCCATGTGTTCAAAAAATTTAATCTGCAAATGGAAATGTCTTTAATTTCTTGCAATCAATTTATCTAAAATCCAATGGGTTTTCAGTATTATTGTCCCTTATATACTGCGATAACAATCGAAATTTAAGTCATCCACCCACGTGTGAAAAAGCTATTGAAAAAAAGTTACGTCCACGCCTGAGTGTCCATATAATATCGTAAGTTTTATTTCGTGGTTTAGGCGATTACGTGTACGAAATTGGCGCCCAAATATTTTTAACGAGTCTCAGGCAGTGTAGATTCAACGAATCTATGGCTATATTACCAAACGCTGTCCAAAATGAAATACTCAATAGGACGTGGCATCAATCGTTCGTGCTAATGGCGGCGTTTTGGCCGACAAACCTCATAACACTATTATCTGGGTGAGCTTCATATATTATACATACTGTAAAGTCATTTTAATAATTATAAGAATTGTTTTCTCATTCACATAGATCCAACTCAAGTATCGAACACATAGTCGCCACGTTGATCGCCAGTCACCGGGCTATGAGACTCGATTCGATCGAATACAATTTAGTGCTTACCCTCGTCCTGTGCCGACCTGGTAAGTAATGTAATCATTTTAACAATTTGATAATATCGCTGGGCCTGTTTAAATTTGTATGTATACAGTGTAATCTAACCTGTGCACTGTGTTCTGTTATGAGATCTATGCAGTTCAGCCGAGTTCAGGAACGACTTGACCGCCATCGGATCAAACGCCAAGGACGCTCTGATGAAACACGCTGCGTTCAAGTCACCGACCAGATACTATGGAATATTAGCCTGTATACTTTCCGTCACCGAAGACCTGGCGGGATACATAAAAATAATTTTTTTCGAACCTTCCGTTAGAAATGTACCGATGAACCATCTTGTATCAGTCATTACTTAGACGCTTCACAATTTACTTATTTTCTAGTCAGCTTCTACAGTATTACACAAAAAAATTATCGATACACATATTATATTATACTCGTAGTATTTAACTATTTAATTTGTTTAATGTTTACGAAACATTAGTAAACGCTCAACGTGTAAATAGATAACCAATATACTATATAATAATAACATCATAGTGGAACCTTGTTTTTTCTTAGATTTTTAAAAACTGATCAAATCACTTTGTGTTTGTAACACGTTTGTATTATAGTAAAATACCGCAGGTCGATTATAGAAGTTGCTTCTATTTCTGTAGTTATTATATAGTATTACCCAAAAAATTAATTTGATAAAGAATACTATAAAACAATTTTTTTCTCCCGAATAACCGACAGCAGGGAAGACTCTGTAGTGAAATGATTCTTCTCTGTTGCCATCGCTATAATACAGCTGACAAAACAAGGAAATAAATCCGATAACATTTACGAGTTTGTATTTAGTGGTAATTTACGCTGTGGTACAGACAGTACAGTTACAAAAATGATCCATGATTCAATAACGACCAATAAATATTGATAGTTTTTTTTGAAAAATATATACACAACTGTGTGATTTTTAAGGTTCAAAACTTCATTGCATACATTTTAGTTTTAATAAATATTTGTTATTATTTTAAACTAAATGAGGAAATAACCTTATAAACATAAAAATTAATGATACTTGGTTACAAGTTAGTGATAAAATAAAAAAAAATTAAATACAACTTGTTAATGACACCAAGAATTAAGAGATAACAAAAAAGTTCAAAGCTATCAAAAATTAATTTTAATAACTGTGTTATAATATTGAAACAATTCAATGCCGAGCTTTATCCAATCACAACATACGGTACATACATTTTTTTAAACAGTAAATTTGTAGTGGAGTACATCAATTGCGTTCAAATATTAGATATATTTGGCACAGCGTTTATTGAAAACAAATTTGGAATATAAATAAAAATACTTATTTTAAATTGACTATTTTCTAACCTTTTAGTTACAAATTTATACTTGATTTATTTGATTTTTGTTTATTTTGTACATGTAAATACTTTTTTGATGAATTATAATTGTTTTACGAAATGCATGAGAAAGTAGTGACAAAAAAAATTTGGTAGGTACGTTTCATGTTACACAACTATAATAACATAGACGTATATAGTGTAGAAGACATTGCATTTTAAAGGCAGTTTAAATTTAACTAAATATCAAGACATTTACTTAATAAAGTAAAGTAAATGTAAGTATAGAAGTTAATGTCATATTATTATTATATATTATGTATTATTTATATTATTTTTATTGCTGAATAATGAATATACTATAGACTGTTGTATTAATAATTTGTAAGTGTACGAAATCGAAATGTGCTCTTAAATAATTTAAGTTATAATTCTTGTATTCTTTAGAATTGTCTACGATTTGAAAATTATATCAAATATGCTTAGGTACTGCAAAAGTACAACAATAAATAAAAGTTATAAATAATACATAAAAAAATAAAAATCAAAACGTCTAAACTTTTTTTAAATAATGGTTTCAAGAAAAAAATATAATTAATAGATAATAAAACAATTTATATTTATTGATTCTGTCATTAAATACTAACACTAAATTAGTCAATATATTATATAAGCATGAAATATTCAGAATGAATCAGTATAATACAATTGGAAGAAGTATATTATGTTAATTGGCTATACTTACCGAAGTCTCTAACCTCGTATTAAAATTATATTTAACTGGACAACGTTTTGATTATTGACATGTATAAATATATCTATTATAATATATTTATTTTACAGTAGTGTCGGGTTGTTTGTTTGTCGAAATCACCTCTATCACGCCTTTTTCGACGAATTTCACCACCACCCCGAAACGATTTTTAAAGAAGAGTACCGCAAAGGATTTGCGGACAATAATTTAATAATATGTTGTGTATACTATCCGAAAAAACATTTTCAACCAAAACCATTGTTCTGGCACGTGCGTCAAAATAATGCGCTATAGATATATAATAATACCAAATGTATTAATGATACGACGACAGTAACTGCCACAACAATGACGACGATAGAGTCGACCCGAAAGTTCCTTTGACAGCCCGTCAAAAAAACGATTAAGGTAGTCGGCGTGGCAGGAGGTGTAAAACGTCATAATTTCCACTTTGAGTAGCCGCCGCCGGGCTTACAATGTAGTATGTACATACTATGTGTATATTATTGTAGTTTCCGGTCCTTATTATTTCGCCTCCATGTCCTTCACCCTTCGGATATTACACCCTTTTGAACAACATGAGGCCCATCTGATCCTTAAATGTAAAGTGTATTATTATATGTATATTGTATATACTATATATGTTAACAAATAACTGTTAATAATTGTATTTTGAGATTTTATAATGACGATAGTTATATGTATAATAATGTTTTACTTAGAAAACGCGCCTATAACCACAGGACGCAGTTTTTTTTGTGAAACCATATAGATCTATGTAATAATGCATTATTTATAAATAACATTCAATTTATTTCAATTGTTGAGTACAATTAATAGTTGCGCACAGTGTATTAACAGCAATGTTAATTGAGTATTCGGAGATTTATGACAATGTGATTTATGAAAAATACATGTTTTTATTTTCTCTGTATTTCATATTTGTTATATATTTCATGCCGAATGAAGTTAATCCTTAAAATGTATAAGCTAGGTATATCATATATATGTCATACACAGGAGTTTATCAGTTGAGTTTAAAATTACATTTTCATAATATACTAATCACTCAGTCATTTTCTGGGTCAATAAACCACTAATTAGCAATTGCGTCAAATAACGACCTAATTATTTTTATCTTATTCAACAGCGCATAAAAATAAAATTTGAATTGAAATACAATGAACAAGAACGTCAATAATGTATTTATAATTTAATATACATAAATAAATGATGACAATTAAATTAATCACTATAATAAATTATAATATTATTCTATATTACAGTATATTTTTATAAAACTATGTATCAATAAATATTAATTATATTTATATATTCTATACAATTATGAAATATTGATCACAAATCAATAAAAATTTTAATTTTTTTTTGAAAAATCTAAGTTGGTATATTAACAGTAAAAATAAGAACCGCAATTTGTATACTGACCATGAAATACTAATTTTGTTTTACCCGACACTGGTCCATACCCTAAAATACACCTACCTACTTATTAGAATTCAACCAAATTTCGTTTCTATATGTTCCTACAATAAAGGTGCCACAAGTCAACAACAACAAATAATACCATGAAAAAAACACAAAAGAAATAAAAACAAAAAATTGTAATTTTGCTATATTCATAAAAATTAAATTTATCTAAAATTAAATTTATCTTGTATATTTATCTATGTTTTATATTCTGAATGTATTGATTTGATAGTGATGTATGTTTTTTTGGTAATCACGTTTTGGAAGTAAAGCTGCTTTAATTTTGAATTTTGAGAATGGTTTCTGGTAAAAAATTGTATCTATACAGTATTCCAGTGGCCCCTTTGGTACGTATAATATTCCTTACATTTCTTAATAATCAGGGAAACAATATAGTTAATTGGTTTACTCAATATAATTTTGTTTTTTTTAAATGAATAACCATAGATGAACCTTAAAATTGCACCTCATAATTATATTAAAATTGTCAATACGTACATGATACAATTTTTAAAATATTTAATGGCTAAAATAGTTTTAAATACATAATATGAATAATAAGGTATGGATTTCAATAGTAAAATAAAAAATAAAATAATATAATATAACAAACAGAAAAATGAAAAGAATAAAATATAAATGTATAGTATTATGTAATATGATAATCGTGTCATATTGTCATACAGTTGCCGGCTGCTGCTACCATAAACAAATATGGAACAACGACTGATCTTTATCGATAGCAAAACTCTTACAAAAATACCATAAAAAGCTCGATCGATTTATCTAGATTCTAGAACATAATAAACACATCCATTTGTTGTACGTATTTTTCTTTGTGGGCTACAAGGTGAGGTACAATAATTTTAAGATTACAGTCTACAGGTTATAGGTAAGTGTTATACCTCAAATAGTTGCGTTTTACTACACATCGGGTTGTCCATACTAAATTTAACACTCACTAACACTGTTAATGTTTTTGAAAATAAATTTTTTACATAATTATAAGTGGTTATAAATTATAAAATAACATTTTTCTAAAAATATATATTTGTATTATTTTTAATTTGCAATTTGAATTCCTTATTCCAAAGCAGAATATTTTTTTGAGTACATAGATGCTGTATACATCGAATTTTGGACGAGTTATAACTAATAAAGTAATAAACAACTCATCCAAAATTGTATTTTTATAGTTTGAAATACTTCGAATAATATTCTGCTTATAGAAATATGAAATTAAAATTTATTTTATTTTTTAAAAGCATAAAAACTTAAAACATTATAACAATATAAAAAATAATGTGGTTTTAAAAATAACAAAAAAATAATAATTTGAAAAAACACGAGAACCGGACTGACTTGAGAGCGGAACTGACCTGAGAGCGTGACTGACCTGAAAGTGGAACTGAAACATGAGAGCCGGACTGACTTGAGAGCCGGGCTGGACATGAGCTGAGAGTTATTTAAAGTTATGTAAAAAAAACATTTTTAAAATCATTAGTGTTTTCTGAAACACGTCTTGTACAATTCAAAAATATATATTTACATATGTGTGGTACAAAATATTTTTCAAAATACAGCTATAAAGTTAACATAACTTAATAGGTTAACAAAACCAATTATTGGTGCTTTCCGATCGATCGCAACTATCGAACATACAATGTTGACAGAAAGTGGAGATTAACTAATACAGTAGGTTACTTACAAATGGTAGAGTTGAATAAAAATATATTTAATCAAACACAAGTTCAATATTATGTTAATTAAAATATTAATGTTTATTGCTCAATAGTATAGCGCGATTATGCGAAAGTGCTTGGAGATTAGTGACTATGGTACATCTGAAAATTGTGTGTTTTGGGTTCCTTATGGTCTATGGATGGTTCCCCTTTACCATTTTTCCTAGACTGAAGGCCATTCAAATTGCTTATTCGTGTTTGTTTTCGTGTGTATGGATATTCAAGCCAGTCATTACTTATTATTTTAATGATACCGACTTTGTTCTTGTAATATTACTCATTGCTAAACGCGAGAATCTTCCAAAATTTCTATCAAAGTAAACAATTCTTAGAATAAATCCTTGACTTTTAGATATCAATGTGTATAATTTTAAAATGTGATTTGTGAAGTGTATAATTTAGATTGTCATTATTATTGTAATTCTTATAACAAAAGGAAGTCCCTAATAATTTGGTAATCCGTGAGTCCATATTACAGAAATAATAATACATACCTATACATAAATTATAATTAATCAAGATGTCGTAAATGTATTAAATAATAGTTTTATACCTATAGTCAATAATTACATGACCTTATTTTATATTATATTTTATTTGGTAGGTATGTATAGTGTATACCATTTTCTACGCTTTCATTTGAAATTAGGAAGGGCAGCACCAATATAGTATATACCACATACAAATTTGTATGGTAACTATTATAATATCACAGCAACGATAAAATATATTATAATAATAACATCAATTTCTTTCGAAAAGCCGAAAAAATCGTTCTGACATAACAATTTGTACATAATAAAATAATAATAATAATAATAATAATAATAATAATGATGATCCTTATAACACATATTTATGTGTCCGTACTGCATAATACATTCGAGATTCGACAAACCTAATTTTAATTTCGGTCCACCGAACTACGTTCCATGTCTGTTTCGCATGAATAAGTCAGCAGTAGTGCAGGTCGTTTTGAATACAACAATCCTAAAAAATAAAGTTGATCTCTATATCTCTAAATAAACGAAGTCGATGCCTATATACAATAAAGACAATACTATATTATTGGAAACATAATCGTCAAGAGTCTCGAACTATTATTTGTATCAACCTCCAAAAGTGGTATACACCTAATTACCCAAAATTAGTGCTTTCAAATTAATTTTTTTTTAGGTGGCCCATGTATCGGATACTGTTCCCTATATGACCACTAGGTCTTCAATTAATGGATAGTAGCCAATATTGAGTCACATGAATTGAGTTGTGAATTGCTACATACTTGATACAATTTTTTTTTTAAAGCCATCAAGTAGGTATAACCGCTCTAATGAATAGTAAGGGCGAGTATACCTCGTCATTGAGTAGGTCACACCGTGATGGATGTGTTGAAATAAGATTCAATAATGAACCGTTGTACCTATTCAATTAAAAAAAACGACTCTAAACATAAACCATATGGTTAAATCCATGGTTAACAAACAATTATATGCACTTTTTTTGTTTTTCCCGGTTGTTTTAAAAAGTACTTGAAAATTGAAGTACAAACTAGATCTAGCTTGCTACCAAATACCTTCCTCGTAATTGATTATTATTATAACTAGACATTTTTTTTTTTACTAGAAAAGGTATCTTATGATAAAAACTTTCTTTTTAAATATCACACACCATTGCGAAAATATATGTCAATACATTCTATTAAATTAACATAGTATGCCTTAATATTTATGTACCTAATGTTATTACATTGATGTAGGATTGCATGAAAAATGCATGAAAAATGCATGAAAAATATTTATTTGAGGGTTCAACAAAATTTAATGGATCAATCACGGACCACAAAATCATGTTTAAGGTATCTTTACCTCACTATTAATTCGTTCAATGTTAAGTGATGCTACCCTATATTATTATATTAAAAAATGAAGATAAACTATTTAAGTTATTCATACATTTTTATAGAGTTTAAACATTACAAGTATATAATTTTTTTTATACTTTATTAAGGCTTCAACAACAAACATTTTTAGAATGGGAAGTATATAATATAATGCAAATGTATGGTAATTGACAACGAACTAAAGAATAAGAGGCGAGTATATATTTCCATGTTAAGATTTTTATTTGTACACCAAAACAAACATTGAAAAAATGCAAAATATTATCAAAACAATTATACTAATTAGCAAAATAATGATTTTTTAAGACAAAGTTAGTATAGATTCCCCCCTAATAATTGTTCCCACTGGGTTTCACGAAACTTAGTAGTGGCACTGGATAGATTATCATACATTAATTATTATTCAATGTTAAGTTTGATACCAAAACAACTAAATTGTACTAAACTTAATTATATATTTATATAAACATAGAAGTTGTGGTATAGATTAGGAATAGCACGCTTTTAAAATAATTAAATTGTATTAATTATTTTATTTTTTTAAATTAAGGTACTTACTGGCACTATACCGGTAAGATTTTCAACTACCTAGTAATATATTAAGGCAAGACGATAAAAAAAAATTAAATGAAAACAAAACAATCGTTATTTGCACAGTAAATTAAGTACGAGTATAGAACGGGATGTAAAGTTCTATTAAGTAAGAAAAGTGCTTGAATTCCAAAAAAAAAATTTAATTTAAATATATTATAGACCTACTGAAACTCGTTTGGTTATTTAAAATGGTAGTTGCCTATTTTTTTTAAAATAACAAATGATACACCATTGATACTTAAGTACTATTTATTATATATAGCCATATAGACAAAATAACTCATCAATGTATAGAATAGATTGTATAGAATAAATTTTTTTTAATTTTTATTGTGTGTATATATGTATGTAACACTACTAATACTATATGGCGTGGGCATACCTAAAGTCTTCTATAATCTACTGTTCAACATTTTTAAAGACTATTATTTGTATTGTTAGGTATTGAATATTCCTAAGATTCTGACTTTTGATTATAATATCAGATAAGTATAATTATTTCAAACTTTCAAAACGTCCAGGTATATAAGCCATAAGGTATGTACAAAACGACTGTTTATAATAATTTATATCTTTCCAAGTGTACGTTGATTAGGATTCAATCTCACAGAGGCCAAAACCTGTCTTTAATTATCATAGTCTTCACTCCGTAGTAAAGATAACTATAGCGTCATGCAATATTAATCCTGTTCTTGGCAATTATTATGTTGTTGAATCGACTTGTTTCCGCATTTTATTGACATTGTGATTCTTTGAATGATGAAACTGTTAAAGTACATAATGTATTTATGTATTTATAATGTATACATAATTATAAATAATACGTCAGTTATTGTAAAACACTATCACCATATTTATGTTATGTTAAAGTCTACTTTCGGGAAAATTGATAGGGTATTAAATTAAATGATGATTATTATAAATATTTTCTCAACAAAATTGTAAGCTAAAACAATATTTGTATAAGAACACAAATATATGTAATAATTGATTCATAGAAGATAATAAGTTACATATAATTGGCGAAATAACTTTTTCTTAACAAACCTTATTCACTAACAAACAAATAGTGGTAAGTATTAATACTTGATAATTACCATTAATTACCTGTAATGTAATATTTATTAGTTTATTACTTTAGTAATATTTAATTAACGGTATTAAGTAATGGTGGATAACCACATTAAAATGTTTAAATAATATACTAAAACATATGTTAATTTTTTCATTTTCATTTTCATCTTCCAAAAATGTTTGTAAAATTGTCTTAATAGACAATAGTTTATTGAAGTCCTTAAATATTCGTATAGTTGATTCAACGTAGTAACTATATGGTGAGTGATGAAGACGAATCGTCCACCGTATTAAACGCCGGATGTCTTTACTCGATGAGTTGATGAGATTTTTTTATACTAAATAGTGTTGTATAGTGATATATATATATTATAGAATCAGACGCAGGCGATATACCATATGCAAATACCTATACTCTATAGTAGTATATTCGATCACAAAAATCATCCGAAATTATATTCGGACAATCAATATAACAATAGTCAATAGGTATATTATAAAAACGTCAAATTTTCCGCACTTAGAGCATAATATTATTATGTACATCTGACGTAATAATAAATCGTTCCGACATCATAATATAATATAATATAATACCTACTTGTATCGCAAATAGCAACGATGCATCGAAAAAACGAAACTCTCGTTGTATACCATTCATATAATATTTTGTACACAGTATAAATAGTACCATTATAGGTATATACTTGTGCAGTATCTACCGCACGTTTTAATGTTATTTATTATTTCGGTCGACCGGACGATCGTCACCAGTGTTTAGCTCTAATTTATACTTCACTGAGTTACACTGCCCTGTCGTATTATATAAAATAAGTATAGGTAGGTACTTATGCGTTCTCGGTTCAATCGCATTCAGTCGACTATATATATGCTCATTACACATGAACACTTCACATATGTAAACTGAAAGACATCGTGAAACCATGTTCGTTTATTGGACAGTTATCGCTATGCTGTGTTTGGTGAGTATACAAATATTAAATAAATAATCATTATTCTGTCCGTTATTATGCCTATTATTATAATGAAACTATATAGCATTTTCAATTTTTTTTTTCTTTGAGTAAATATATTTTGATAGTGTACCTAACCAATATTACAAAACAATTATTTTAATAATATAATGTTACAATTTTAACCAATGTACATATTTTTTTTATAATTCCCTAATTTTTTGAAAAGTATTGAGAAAATGTCTTACATTGACCCCCCCCCCCCTCCAAAAAATAAATAAATAAATAAATAAATAAATAAATAATACAAAAGAAATCCAATTTACTTCTAGAATCACTATCAAAGTTTTAAATCAAATCATTTTTTTTTTTTGTATAAAAAGTGTGCAGAAACATGAATCATAGTAAAATCGCTTCGCTCAAATTCTAAAATTCTAAATTGTTGACTCAGATATTTAGCTCCAAAAGTATTATGCATTAAATTTTTATATATTTTATTCTATTAAATTGCATTGATGTCATTGCCTACGAGTCTCAAACATTTTATTTGATAATTATTAAAATATTAACAAAGAAAATAAAACAATTTTTCACTGTTACTAGTATTTGCTTGTACTGTATTAGTTGTATTACTGTAGTATTGTAGATACAATTATTGTAAGTTTTAACTGATATACCTATATTTATTATATTATTCTACATATTGTGTAGATTTTTTTATATAAGACTTTATTTATATACGTTCACATAATGTATCAATGTCGGTGAATTGTTTTAATTTCAAGCACCTATAAAGCAATCCACAGTTCAACAACATTATTATTATATTATGTATATTATCTATATACATACAAAGAGTTTATTAAGATATCATTTTATTGTGATAGCATTAAAATCCACAGCCTGTGTCAAATATTTCCCCAGTTTTTAAATGATTGAGTTAATCTGATAAGTGATTAATTTCTTCTCGGCTGTTCATACAAGTATGACTCCTGTTTAATATATACTATACATATATACACAAACAATACCAATACACACCGAGTACGATAAACGATCAATCGAGACAAATTAGACTCAATTTTAATAAATCACTCCGGAATTTTAATGTATATTATTAAATGTATTAGCATACATTGTGCACGTATTTATAATCGATATAAATTCAAATAGTTCACTTGTTCGTTTTAAATAATATGCATATATTTAAGCATGTAATTATTTATTTATATAATTCTTATGGACTGAAATCCAAATGTAAACAATTTATTCACATATAACTTAATAATTACTTAACTACTCAATTTACATTAGTTTTGGCAAATATAAATGTTTTCAACAAACGCATCTATGTTATATTAATCACCTAATTTCATTATTCAATTAATTAGGAAGTAAGACATGCGATTTGTCGAATTTGAATGTTATTGAAACATATCATAATGTTTTGAATTACAAGTATATATCTTACGACCTTAACATGTATCATTGCTAAGGACGCAGGGATCAATTAAATAAATTTTTTTAGTAACTTATATAAAAATACAACAAAATTTATCACGAGTATAACGAGTCTAAATTTAAATGATATAAAAGTGGTATATAATATGATAACTGACGTGATTCTCTCGATATACTATACACTATACAGTTATGAAAAATAAATCTTAAAATCTATTTTGAATAATCTCCAGATGTCTTTTTTTACTTTTTAGGTGTAAAGACCAACAGGGTCGAATTATACCCTAGAAATCATTGAACTAGTAAACAATATAAAAATTTCAATGTAGTATAGAGGTAGTAAAACTATTACAGCGATGTCTTAAAATGTGACATAAACTGTGTTTATTACAATAACTGACGTCATTAAACACAAATTACTATTACTTTGTTTCCGGTGTAATTATCAAAGTAAATAACATATTTTTCCCGCACTAAAATAAATATTTGGACCTTTTTTATAAGAGATTACTTCTTCTCATCTAATCCTAAAAGAAGACCTGTTTATTTGAAAATAGCCGATTTTATCGGCTTAAAGTGGTCTTAGGTGACAGCTAGCAGTCATCCAAACCTAGGTTTCTTTTATGACTTCCACTAAAAGTGTCTACAAAATTCAGATTTTCTGCTCTTATTTTTTCCGCTATTTTTTTTCGTGGACTATAGATTTGAGAAGTATTGTCTTGTTTTCAGAGCCCTCTGCAGCAGCGGAGTTGGAACGGAGTTTCGTCGTTGATGTATCCGTACGACTACGGTCCGACGCTGTTCGCGGATGCCAATAACGTGACATTCGACTTCATAGTGGTTGGCGGCGGTAGTGCCGGCGCCACGGTCGCCGCTCGCCTCAGTGAAATACCAGAATGGAATGTGCTGCTGCTGGAGGCGGGTGGTGACCCACCAGCCGACACGGAAACGCCCCTCATGTACAGCGAATTGATGACAAGTGACGTCGACTGGACGTTCATCACCGAACCCGAACCGCACTTGTTTGGGGGCTTGGAACACGGCCGGTGCCAGGTATCCAGGGGTTTGATGCTGGGCGGATCATCGTCCATTAACGCCATGATGTACTTGAGGGGCACCAAGCGTGACTTTGACGAGTGGGAGCGGCTTGGCAACGCGGGATGGGGTTTCGGCGACGTGCTGCCGTACTTCATCAAGTCGGAGAATTTTACGGGTAGTGCCAGTCGGCGGGACTCGGTGCCACACGGCCGCGGCGGCCCGCTCACAGTCAGTCCTCTGGTTTCCATCGACCCGGCGTACTCAGCAGTCTCCGACGGAAATCGAATGCTCCGGTTGGCAGAGTTGGACGACATTAACCGGTTCGCGCCTCCGGCGGTTGGGTACGGTCCATTGGACTTCACGGTGCGCGACGGTCTCCGGTGTAGCACGCTCAAGGCGTTCCTGTTGCCGGCCAGCGGACGGCCAAATTTGTTCGTGGCGAAAAATGTCAGGGTGACCCGGGTGATGATACAGCGAATCTCGGCACCCAGCGGTGGAAGTTGCACTAGGGCAGTGGGCGTCGAGTACGTCACACCGTCGGGCCGATCACGGTACGTGTACGGATCCCGTGAAGTGATACTTTCCGCGGGCGTGATTATGAGTCCTCAGATCCTCATGGTGTCAGGCGTGGGACCCGCAGGACACTTGCGCCAACATGGAATCCATGTGATCAGTGACTTGCCTGTAGGCTACAACTACCAGGACCACGTTGCGTTCGCTGGACTTGTGTTCAGCGACCGGAAGAACCGATCCCGAGCCGACATATCACGTGAGAGCACCGACCTGATCCGGAACACATTCGACTTGGTGTCCAGAGGTGTAGGAACGCTGGGCCTGACAAACCTCGTGAGCTTTGTCGACACCGCGGCCAAGGGACGCGCCGACATACAGGTCGTATATCTGAGATTCCCGTACAACAGCACGAGAAACACGCCGAACAAACGGAGCAGGGTGTCGAATCTGTTCGGATACTCAGACCATGTGGCCACAAAGTACGACGATTTGAACATGCTAAGCGACTCTGTGATCGCGATACCGATTAATGTCGATGGCCGGAGCACCGGGCGCGTGGTTCTGCGGTCGGGTGACCCGATGGCGCGCCCGAAAATCTACACTAATTACTTGTCACACGATGACGAGATCGAGACGTTACTGCGTGGAATCGATTTCGTCGTGGAACTGTCAAAAACCAAACCGATGGTGGACGCGGGGCTAGTCCTGGAACCCGTCGAGTTTCCAGACTGTGTGGATTACGCCTGGGGAACTAGGGACTATTGGGTGTGCGCAATCCGCAGCGTGGCCACATCGTTCTACCACCCGGTGGGTACGTGCCGGATGGGACCTGCCCACGACCACCGGTCTGTCGTCGACACCATGCTAAACGTGAAGGGCGTGCGCGGTCTCCGGGTGATTGATAGCTCGATAATGCCCAAAGTCGTTTCTGTAAACACGAACGCCGCGACCATAATGATCGCTGAAAAGGGATCGGACGTTATAAAAAAATGTTACGGTAAGCTCGTGTAATATGTAAAATAATAATGTGATGCAGAATTAGACGTCTGCGGTGGACGTTTTGGACCAAATAATATCAGGATGTATAATAGTGTAATATACATATTATAAATATATTTTTATTTTATTTATTTATTTATTTTTTTTTTAATTGATCCTGAGCCCGGCAACTATGGCCATTAGCTATTAGTAGGTACTGTAAGTTTTTTTTTTTTTTTGTATTGATGGTTTGTAGGTTTTTGGAACGGTAGGGGGAACACGTGTGTGTTTGTATTGGCAGAATTTCGAANAATGGGGCACCCGTAGGTTTCTGCCATGCCCCGGGGGTGGGGGATGGCAGCACTTGCTCTCCGGTCACCGCGACTTGTCCGGAGAAAAATGCCGCCCGGTGGCCGAGGATCGAACCGCGACCGGCTGCGTCGCAGCGGAAGAGTCAGACCACTCGGTCACCTCGTCCCCCTTTTATTTTATTATTAATATTATTATATTACATTGTAGGGCACAAGGCCCAAAACTAGTACTGTGAATACAACAAGGTATATACAATTATGAATATACTGATTGTATTGGGATTAATTTACAATCATTTTAAAGATATATATACATTATACATAGATTAATATAGGTACGCTGTGGCAAAGGAAAAGTGGGTAAGTGGATAAACATTGGCATTCTACATAACCTGGCAAATGTAATTATTATAACGGTTGGAAGCTGGATAGGAGGTAACCACAAGCTGGCCAGAAGTACCCGTTGTGGGTAAGGAAGTTATAAAATTGAACAAAGGCGATAAACCAGGACACTGAATAGTGTTGAAGTGCGGTTGACAAATTTAAGGAGCTGGAATGTACCTGTCCGTGTACAAATATCAGAAATCACTGAAGTTGAGCAGATACAATAGCATAGTTATGTGAGCTATGAGGGATTCTTAATTTTTAATACTTATACACTGACAGTATACGGCACAAAGTTGATTTCACTGCACTCTTTTAACTTGCTTTCTCCTCCGATAACGTAGCATACAATACTATGGAACCAAACTCCAAGATTAATTCTACCATGGAGCAATAAAAGTTATAACGTTTCCATTTTTCCAAAGAACGAAAAAGTTTGAATCCACTCGACACGTATTTTGCGAACTCTGTATGTGTTTTAAGAGCATTGTAGGTTGCAGTCACAATATGCTTCTGGAAGGTTAAGTTTGTCGAATAGATAATTCCTAGATCTATTTTGTAAAGGACATTACATTATATAATGACTGTCTTCTTAGTGTTTCTTTTCATTTTTCAACACTACAAATACCTATACTAGTTTTGTTGTTGACCTATTTAAGAAAAGTGCCTATATTATATTATGCTGTTATCGCATTTTATACTTTTAAATTCATATCGATAACATATAGTATAATGTATACCATTTTTTATATCCAAAATAAAAATTACCACATACGGTATTCGGTTAGTCGTCCATTTGCAGCAATAATGTGACTAACGAGAGTTCGTAGTCAATAAAATATATAGCGAATTATAGTTGAACATTTTAATTTTTTTGGTCACAACCGAATTACAAGTCTTGTGTAGTGTGTTTAATGTAGGGGTTATGAGTTTTTTTTTTAGGACCCTCTGTTACCGCTGGTGTCGGTCTTATAGACTATAGAGCAAGCTTAATAGATGCTCTACATCGGCAACGGAGAATGAAAGCTGATGTAATTATGTATAATAATATATCGCAGATGATGGATCCGTAAAACTCAGACGCCTGCTATAATATATAAACATAATATAATTCCGACTTACCGATCCATATAGGAATGCGTCTAGACCTTGACTGTAATTTGTGTGAGTGTGTGCGTGTCTGGGTGCATGTCTGAGTGCGTGTAAGCTCGTCTGTTTAACTATATAAATACGTACTTATATATATAAAATACTCTGTCTACGACGTGTAAATATAGAATCCACACGCGTAATTTAACATAATATCATCTAGGCCTATTGCGTCTCCGACGAGTGCATTTCGTAATTATTATTATTTATGTTATTGGGCTACTACACGTTATTGTGTGGCGGGTCGTACCTATATAGGTATAATATGTTGATAGTACGCCGTACGGTCACAGCTCTCCTGGAAACCTACAAATAGTGATCGTTTAGTACATTTATAGACAACTTAACCATACAAACTGTTTTATAAACTGCTTGTATGTATGTCGTATGATATGTTTTAAGTAAATTGTCTAAATTACTTATTATCTGCAACTCGCTATACACCTAGTATATATTTATCTAGACAAAGACCATAACTATATCTCAATAATAGCAATGTAAAAAAGTATTAGTATTTTGACAACTAGTTTGGTAATCAACCAGAACAAGACTACCACAACTCACAGTTTATTAATATTGAGATATTACTATGGGTAGTTTAAAATTAAGTCTATGTAGATAGTTACCTAATACAAGAATGTCCTATTAGATATAATTTTTCATTTGGCCGCTAAAAATATGTATCAGTATTGCATTTTTAGATTTGTAAGTAGCTAATTATCAAAGCAGTGATATTGCAGCAGCCGTACTACAAATTTTAAGATACATATTGCTTATACTCAACTAGTATTCAATACTGTTTTATTAAATTATAATGAAAAGTTATTAAAAATAATAAGTAGGTATAATTGTACACACAGACACATCTCAAAATAAGGCAGTTTTACATTCACTTAAAAAATTGTAAAATGCCATAAGTTATAACATAAGATATAGGATACATATAAGGTATAAGAAGATCACTATCAACCTAATTAAGCTGAACTTAATTTAAAATTCATTTATTACGCTGGGAATAAAATAATACACTTATTTAATTAGTATAATATTAATTATACCGTATAAATGTACATACCTATGTTCCTCTAAGAAACACACTGCGAGTTTCGTCAACACTTTTAAAAAAATTGTATAGACTTGTACGAGTAAGAGAACATATTTTTTAAACACTTCCATTATAATATATTGATTGCCTAAGTATAATAAGGACGGATACAATTGATAGCCATCCTCTAATTATTTTTTGTTTATTAATCTATAATAAGACGTGGTACGCGTATGTCTCTAACTCTTGACCATACCTATAATATTTTATAATACGTTTATATTGTATGATGTATCTATATAATTAGACGTATAATTTACGTTTTATATTTTATTATAATTTTTAAAACTATGCTAGTAGGTATTTATTGTTTAACTAATTGATTCATATTTTTTGAATTATTTGGTCTATAGGCGCATATTTTTTATCTAACTGTTACCCCTTTTTCATTTTTAGATCCACTCCATGTGATTTATAAATTAATTAATTTATATATACGATATAAATTTATAATTTTAAATATACATATAAGATATAATATGAATATTAAATAATAAATAATAATGGATCGTTTAGTAAAATAAAATTGTAATAAGGTCTATCGTATAATGTATGTATGTCTTGTACGAATTACAATATTTATTTATTAATAATTTATGTTCCGAGTCATATTAACACAAAAATTGTATGATGAATACATTTTAGATAACATAATTAAGAATAATAATAATACTATCTAAATATTTATCTACTCGTAATACATGAATTATTCTTTGGTAGGCAATAGTCAATTAAGTCAATTACCTCGTATAATAATAATATATAATCATTGATTATACTACTTACTTATTTACTATACTGATTTGCTGAACAAAACTTATCAATATATAGTTTTTTTGCGCTGCTTAATCTTTAGTAGTGAACTTCTAACGTAACCATGGTTCAACATTGAAAAACCCTCTGAAAAATGTATGCAGTGTACATATTACTGCAAATTAGTAGTTACGACATATCATGTTTGGCGTGGTGTTTTTATTAAAAAATAATATATTGCATATATAATATATACACTACTAGATTTTTCTTCATACATTGATATGTGACATGGCAATTCATTTTATAAAAGTTCAACCCTTTATAATGGTTTTTATTTATAATTAATGTTTTATGTTTTGGATAGTTTTGATGGACATGATGACTATTAGAGTTACTACGTATTTACACGTTTACAGAGGCCAAGGGGGGGGGGGGGGGGGGGGGGGGGTTGGACTCACCCGTTGAATACCACTCACCTCCTCCCCACCCCGTATTACCGTCATTGAGATCAGCGGATTAATACTGCTACGCCGTTACACAGATAGTATATACTTACGCAGTAAAACGCGTATGATATTTTTTAATATATATATTTATTTATTATGACAAGAAAACACAATAATATCATTATATATTTATAATATTATGTTCTCGATGAAAGTACTCCAGAAAGACCCACGTAGGTATACCGAAAAGGGTTAGGTAGTCGTCGGGTTTGACATTTGGCATTGCCGTCGTCGTCGTCGTATAGTTGCAGCAGTCTCCGCCTCCGGTTGTTGTGATGATTTAAATTTAGAACGTGTGTAGGCCTTGGTCGCGGCGGTGGCAGCAACGTCGGCGTTGTCGTCGTCTTATTGTACACTCGGAAGCTGGGGACGAATGCTCTTAATGGGCCTAATACCGAACGATTTTGCGAATTTCAGACGGACCACGTGTGTGACTATTATTCCTTCCGCCGGAATGCGCTTATTATAAATGTATAACAAAAAACTAGCACGTTTCCTGTTAATCTGTGTATATTCGTATATGGGTACCTAAATTATATACAGTTTTTTTTTAGGGCAGAAGGGAGTGCAAAATGTCGACGTATAACGATAGACTTTTCAAAAAAAGCATCGCGACGAATGAAAATATGTATTAGTTAGGTATATCAATAATGTTCTGTACAACCATCGTAATCTTTGATACTTTAACCATAAATCTTACAATCCATGATCCATATTATATTATATAATAGTATAATATCATTAATTATCATAAATTATGATTCATTATATTACATTATAGTGATTTATCGTTTATTCTCTATATTATAATGTTTAGAATCAAAGATAAGATGAAACAAACATCTGTGATCATCTTGATAATAATTCGTGGCATACCATGTATAATAGACGTAACAGTCTAGTGGCGCTTTATGTATTTTATGAGATAGCATAGGTGCAATGGGG